GTACTGGCAATAGCGGAAATACTGAGAATTTACTTTACTGAGAACTTAAATTAACATTATGATAATCTATTAATATGTCTACCATGTATACGTAATACAACAGACAGACCAATAAACCTAAAAATGAACGCAACGTGCAAAGCTCAACGTGTGAATCTGTTGAACGCGAGCTACATGATAGGCGGAGTGGGGGGTGCTAGGTTTTATTTTCGTTAGGGAATTTCTTGATTCGGTCGTCGCGCTGTAAGCCCGCGCTAAAAGCTATGCAATAGCTAAAAAAAATATTAAGGAGAACGAAAAGAGGTTTGAGAAGCACAGGCTTAGAGTATTTTATTCAAATCTCGTTGGAAGAAAGATATGTACACATCGCCGCCGAAACACCAACGCGAGCTCATTTTAACAAAAATTACCTAACCGAAGTTCCACAATATGTTACAGTCCTTGTACATACGTCTTCGTCATGGTCAAAATCATGGTCAACGATTAACACTGACTGTCACTGACATACATATACGATTTTATTTTTTTGTGTAATTTGCGTCTACTATGTTGCGGTAAAACCGTACTTTCTAACGACGCTTAGTTGTATCCGTTACTTGAGTCGTCTATTATCAAAGGTGGCAATCTGTGCATTTGGACAAAACATTTTTATTGATATGTCAATACAGATTTATTTGAATATAATCGTCTCCTTCAAAGAATACGGTTCAAAACCTGCATTAAATAAAGGTTAATAGTTAACCTGTTATTTATCTAAGATGTCGTTCCGAAGAGTTTTGTGACTGCCAATGGAATNTTTGAATATAATCGTCTCCTTCAAAGAATACGGTTCAAAACCTGCATTAAATAAAGGTTAATAGTTAACCTGTTATTTATCTAAGATGTCGTTCCGAAGAGTTTTGTGACTGCCAATGGAATACAAAGTCAATAATTCGTTTTTCTGATTTACCAATCATTGTCCAAAAGTCAGATTGCCGCCTTTGATAATAGTCGACTCACTTATGAATATTACGCCTATTTTAAATGTTATAACGTATAGGCACTAGAATCGCTGCTTTTTCATTCATCATTTTTGCCACGTAGAAGCAACTTCGGAAATACTCACAAACATGACTTTTATGTATGAGTCTTTGACCGCGCCGACTTGAAATATCAAAAGGAACCATTTGTAAGGTATAGTGTGAATGTTATTTAATAAATAAAAAACACCTGAGTATGTTTTGTGTATGTACAACGAAAAAGTTGTAGTTAATATAATACTTATTTAATTCGTTTATATAAATTCAAATTACTTTATAGTTTAAATAAGGCTACAATGTAACAGTATAAAGTATAAATTCTCCCCTCCTCAAACATAACTGAGCCAAAACACTATAAAATGTATTTCTTCATACGACGTTTAAAATTAGTATTTAAGTTTCGAAAAAAAAAAAAAAAAACAACTTAAACAGTATTTACTGTTCAAGAAAGTTCAGGAATCCATAGACTGTGGCCAGAGCGAACACAGAATAAACAAAAAATATATTTACTAATAATCTAGTCGATTAGTTTTTATTGCATTAAATTCCACGAAAATTGTCACCATACGAACCGACTTTAAATAAACAAGTGCGTGGTCGTTTGCAAACAAAAAATATCGGAGTTTTACTGATCAACGCAATATGGTTTTATCATATTAAAAAAATAATAAAATTAACATAAATAAACTTGCGCGATTTCTCGAAACACTGCGTAAAACGGGACAGGTTTTTAATTCGTTGAAACACTGTACTTAACATGAATTCCAATCGGGGATTGAAGCATTATTGAGAAGACGTTATTAATTCTCCATTGCCTCTATAATTTATTAATTGTTAGATTTATTCTTTATTTATTATATATTATTTTAGGCTTCTCAGTTGACCGTGGGTCTGTGCTAATTCCTTGTTTTACTTTTTGTAATCAACAGTTTAATTTTTTATTTTCAATTCTCTGCAACTAGTAACGCTGCAAATACAATAATGCTTCTTAGCAAAAATTATCAATATATTTTAAAAAATTCACACATTATTAAGTATTTATTCAAATGATTTTATACAAAAAAGTAGTACCCACATATATTATTATATTATACTAGCGGCCCGCTCCGGCTCCGCTCGGGTCTTTAACAAAAATTTCAACGATATTTGACGTTGTTTTATTTTTTTAAATAAAAGTACATTTATTGCGGCATAACTATAATAGTTAAACATATGCGTATATAATAATGTGCTCTATAAAGTCGTACATATTTTATTCTATCATGAATAGTTTTCGCAGGGCACGCGATGTAAAGAATATTTTAGGTAATTTTTTACACCTTGGGTTACATTATTGGAGTTTAAGTAAGGATCCCTAATTTATTTTCAAAAAAGATTATTATGGCTTAAGTCACTCGGGAATAGTGTAGCTTCGAAACAGTGAAAGATTTTTTCATTTCGGTTCAGTAGCTTCGGTGCCTATTCAATACCAACAAAAAAACAAATATTTCCTCTTTATAATATTAGTATAGAAGTATAGATTAAACAGGATGTTATGATTATGAATTTTACCAAATCGATAATTTTAATGAAATAAGCAATAGATTCTCGATATCCTAGGAATCCTATTGAAATTGGAGTAAATTTAAAGATATTAATGGCCATAAAACCGTCAATGACGCTTCGAAATCGAGGTATGCACTTTTTGTAGTATAACTTGTTTTATTAATAAAAATATATTTTAGGGGATTTAAATTTTTAACAAATACATATAAATTTAAGAACAGACATTCCTTTGAGGTAGGTAGATTAGAAAAATAAAAAACGTAACCAAATTCTTGGCATATTAATTATAATCAACAGCTTCTACGCAGCATGCGACGTCAAAATACCTCATGTTTTTATTAATACTTACGAGTTTTTTTTTTTTTTTTTTAATAATTTTGCATTTATTTATTAACAAAAAGTCATATTTACGAGTATTAGGAATACTGAAGAAGTGACTTTTCAAGTTTATAGTTTTCTTGTACGTTAAAAAACAATATGCAGGGTTTCCCAAAAAGAATGGATAATCCTGAAACACCTCATTATGAGCTATTGGAAAAAAAAAACGTAGTACCCCAATTACGTATTAAAAAAAAATCCATACTAATGCGCGTTTCTATAATATACAACAGCTACAAACATATGAAATTCATAGGGTTTTTGTGTTATAACATTCTACATGAACTATAATACCCATGGATATGCACTAAAGCGTATAAGTAGCTGTTGTAATTTTTTCTAAAAAATAATCCGAACTTAAATATTATATTAATCATGAAATATATTTTTATCTGGGTAATTAATTTGGGTACTACCTGAGAATTTTTTAATTTTATTTCTTATTTTGTGTCCCCAATAGCTCTACTATAAGGTGTTTCAGGATTATCCATTCTTTGTGGGACACCCTTTATAAAAGACAAGGGAAGCTGGATAGTTTTAATACTGATCATCTAATACTATTTTTTTTTTTCGTTTTTTTTTCCACTGATATTTTAGGACGTGGCCGATGTATCTAAAACTTTCTTTTAGTAGTAGGTATCTTATTTTGTTGAATTCTCAATTGTAAAATTACTCTGGCACTTAGTATTCTGCTTTTTTTTCCGAGTCCCTGGTTAACAAACAGTACGTGAATTTTTTCATTTGAAGATCGAACTCTTAGTCATTGTATTGTGTATTGTGGCATTTGTGTCAACATTAATTGTTACATTTTTAAACAATGCAATCATCAAATTAACCATAGACCTAAAATAATAATTAACCGTCAAGGAAGTTTTTTTTTTCGAAAATATGATAAAATTCGCGAATGCCTATTTATACCATATTATATATTGCGTATTATTATTATTGCATATAATACCGAAACTTTTACAAATTTAAATAATTTGTAAACAATCCGAAATATTGTTTCTAGAATAAATAATATACATACAACTACTTCTACGGTTTAGTAGTTAGTTTCAGGCTGTGTGGTCAATGACTAAGAAAACTGTGAAGTTTGAAACGTCGTAAATAATATGTACCTACAGTATTTATGGCCAGACTAATTATTATAATGACAATAAAAACGTGCGATTAAACCTTAAATATATTTTTTATTATGTCTGTTGTTCATTTTATAATTCACGATTTTTCTGTTTTCACGGTCAATGATAGTGGTTAAAATTATTTGTTGTTTTTTTATTTAACAAAATGAGAAAAACCTTGACATTACCCATTAGCATAATCGTATTATATTCTAATAAGGAAATATTCAGAATAAATATGGAGTAAGTGGTTATTTTGTACAATTTAAATATTCAATAATAAATAAGAATTTAAAAATTATAGCCAACACATGTTTCCTTCCTTTGTACCTACTGTATCGTAAAATTAATTATACAGTTATTCAAACTGAATCATTAAAAACTAATATTCCTTCAATGCAAATTGTACTAGTGTAAAATATTTTGAATAGAAAAGCTGCCAAAAATAATATCAGCCACGCTACGATTCCAACTCAAAACTATTTTGAAAATCTGCGGTGACTTTTGTTATATAAAAATGCAAGTCTTACATTTAAAAAAAAATACGTTTATCAAAATTTGTAAGTTAATTGTATCAGTGTTATCGCATCACTATTAATTTGGAAATTCGCACGATTGTTTTTGACAATTTTAGAAAAAGTTTTCCTAATTATTACTAATTTTCATAACCGGCTACAGTCACAGCGAAGCGTGGAACGGTTTCATATGATAATAAATATTAGACAATTATATGCTAAGAGCCCTTGTTTTTGTAGTTGTACTAGTGAGCTCACAGTCCATCCGGTGTTAAGTGTTTAACTTTGTTACATACCATAAAATGCAAGACGGGAGTCGCTCTGTTTTAATTTCTGGTTTTAATTTTTAATATAGAACGCGATAAAATCGCATTAAACTATGAATCTAACGTGTTGATTTTTTTTTGTTGTTGTTACAGATTTTGTTGTATCAACAAAGGATCAGTTGGATTTTTATGTGAATAACACCAAAACAACAGAGCACATGAACGGCAGACAACCCACTGTCTTGGACTACGATAGCGTAAATGACAATATTTTATTTGTAGACGTGTATAGTAATTCCACGTACAGTTACCATTTACCAACAAAGCAAAGTACAAAGTTGGTTAACTCAAACATTTTAACGTTTGATCTGGCTTTCGACCCGGCGAAGAGAATTTTATTCTGGAGCGAACCCCAGGTGAAGAGTATTTACTGGACATCCGTCAAGCCCGGCTCGAAGAGTACAAATGGAAATCTTCTGTTCAAAATGGAAAATGAAATTCCCGAAGCGCTCGCCGTGGACAGCTGTAGAGGGTGAGTGCCGTCACCTACCGACCACATACGCCTGTATCGATCGATTAAGATTTTTTTTCTCCTGCCTATACTGATAGCCTTGAGAGGCTTTATCAGCTTCTCCTTGACGTGTAGGTGAGCTCATGGGGCTCAAACCGGGTGTGTTGCTAACACTGGCCCTAGCAAGAGCAGTGCTTCACCGGATCTACCACCGGATCGGAAACCCGACCCACATAGAAGATCCGGCGGAAGCTCAGTGGGCTGTGTCTATGGGTTAATTCACACGCCGAGCCCTTCGTCGCAAGTGACGGGTTCGACGAGAACGGTGACCGGGAAGATCCGTAATGAAGTGTTTTGGGCGACGTCGAGATTAAGACTATATTTAATGTTTAATGCATACAGTTTATATCTTCTTCTGTGCCTGGACTCTCTCCTACCGTTGCTGTGAACTGTCTAACTGTGATTGTTGCTCTTCTACTTGTAATCGTTTATAAAAGTATTTGTGTAATAAATTGCTGTGTGTGTGAAATTGGACATAGTCATTCCGGTGACGGACTTAAACTCCTTATTGCCTAAACCAAGACTCACGCAGCAAACCCCATAATGCTATTTTCACAATTATTTCGTTCGATTTTCTTTGTATCTAATTTAGTTAAGATTTTTTTTTATTGCTTAAATGGCTGGACGAACTCACAGGCCACCTGGTGTTAAGTGGTTACTGGAGCTCATAGACGCTCATAGACAGCGAAAATGCGCCACCCACCTTGAGATATAAGTTCTAAGGTCTCAGTATAGTTACAACGGCTGCCCCACCCTTCAAACCGAAACGCATTACTGCTTCACGGCAGAAATAGGGAGGGTGGTGGTACCTACCCGCGCGGATTCACAAGAGGTCCTACCACCAACCAGTATACTTCATCACACTTCCGTTAAGTGTGTTTATAGAATAACAAAACAACAGTCATTTATAAATATACATAATACAGAACCGAAACTTCTTATTTACGCTTTTATTATATTCGCTTATGTGTATGTATGTGTTTATAAATGTAACGGAATCTTTGACCGCGATTTTAGGCCCCTTCAATGATAGATTAAATTTGAATTTAGGACAGCTATCGAGAACCGATGATAACAAAAAAAAAATATTGCAAGACGACTATCGATTAGGATATTCAGAATCAAATTTAAAAATGAAACAGCATTTTAAGTCAACCAATTAACATATTTTACGATTTTAGGTATATTTATTGGACCAATACGAATCTCTCCAGTCCATCGATTGGGAGGGCTAAGTTCGACGGTACAGACAGAAAAACGATCGTTAGCAATATAAGATACACCCCAGTGGCTATAACTTTAGATCAACAGACGAAGAAAATTTACTGGATTAACTCAGAAGGTATCAACTATTCTATTGAAAGCTCAGATTTAGATGGTGCAAACAGGAACATATTACTCACGGCCTCAACGCATCACGACCCTATCGCTATATCGGTGTCCAAGGATTATATCTACTGGATCAGCAAAGCCACACACTCCATATGGACCCTGCCAAAGAACTCCGATACCTTAACGGATCGCGGTAATGAACTGATCAAATCCAGCAACGAAATAATCGATATATTTGCTCATTACAAAATCGAGGATCAAATTCGTAACATCGAGGAATGTCAACATTTGTCGAATTTGACGGAGAGCAAACGCATCCAAGAGACGACCACAGCTCTACCGGCCATCGACTACACTGAATTCTGTGAACACGATGCTACAAATGAGAACCGATTCAGTTGCAAATGTCCCGAAGGAATCTATAGGGAGAAATGTGAAGAATTCGTATGCATGAACTATTGTTTTAATGGAGACTGCACACTCAATAAAGACGGACAACCACAATGCGGGTATGTAGCAACGATTTTTAATGTATCGCTTTTGGATAAAGAAACGCTGAAATATAAGTACTGTGTATACGTTACTTAAACTCTTGTTTCTTGACAGATGTAAAAAGGGATACTCCGGTAGAAGATGCGAAATCAATATTTGTCGCGGTTACTGTCTGAACAGCGGTACCTGTACTGTGGATGATAAACTGATGCCAATTTGTAAATGTCAGCCAGGTCACGAAGGTTCTAGATGTGAAACCGATGTACGGGCCACGACCACAAGCAAAAACGTTGAATCTACTACAAGCACTGTTACTGAAATAGCTAAAACATATAATACTAGTGATTTACCAAGAATCCCGTCCACTTCAAGCGATAATTGCAAGTAAGTGATATATTGGCATTTTATAAAACTATTACTATTAAATGTAAAATTAAGGTTTTGTTTTTTTCGTCTAATAACAAGGAGCCTAACAAAAAATTATAAAACAAGTATTTTAATTATAACAGATATCGCATTTGTTTTATTCGCGTTAAAATTTTCAACATGTCGAATGTTTTGTTCTCGTGGTCACGAATAACCGGGAGTTAAGGGATCTGGATATGTCTTTATTTCAGTTTTATGATAAAAATATCAACATTTTCTGTAAATCTAAATAAAACCGAAGTATTTGGTATGGGCAGGATTGTCTTGTTAACAAGACTCACTGTTCATATATTTATAAGGGTTATCATGGACCGTCACAGCAACTTTTTTATAAAAACGCTTTTTATAAAATAAAGATAACCGTAATAAATAAACATTATTTAAAAACAAAACAATAAAAATATGCGAATTCATATATTTAAGGGTAGTAGTAGTGAAGTCTAGAGTTTGTACAATAAAAATAAAGAAAAGATTAAAACAGGAATTCGATGCAAATTAGAAATGCGCAGTTAGATAAATTTCAATGTTATCATTGTTTTTTGGGCATTATACCATCTTAATCTATTCATATAAATATTGAATTTCTAATGATTAGTGTTATCATGTATAAAAAGAACGCAATAAAACACGATAATTCTGTATTTTTACCAATATTGTTTAATTGTAGCATTTTTGCGACGTATTTAAAATATAAAACGATAAATCCATATTCAAATAATTCCAATATACAAAATCCAATATACCTAATAGTCTAAGGGCCTATTTCACCTGCACCGGAGCTTGCTGAGCCGAGGATGAGGTACTACCATTATGGACACGACCTGGACGGCACGGCGGAGCATACGCTCGCTGTCTGCCCCACTTGGGAGGTGCAGCGCCGTGTTCTGGTCGCAAAGATAGGACCGGATTTGTCCCTGCCTGACGTCGTGACATCGATGCTTGGCGGCGACGAGTTCTGGAAGGCTATGCTCGACTTCTGCGAATGCACCATCTCGCAGAAGGAGGCGGCGGGGCGGGTGAGGCAAAGCTCTCCTTAGTACGTAGAAAAACGCCGCCCCCGAGCAGGGGGTCGGGACCGGGATCTCATCCGTGACACGGCCCCCTAAGAGCTTCGGGCTCCACCCGTTTTATGCGAGGAGGCGTGGGGCGGCGTGCCCGGTACGCTCACCCGTCATGAGAAGCCGGGTGATGGTAGGCCACATTCCCTCAACCACTCCAGGGGAAGTTGCAGCGCGGTGCCATCAAGGCGGGCTCCCGGCACGTCGACCTGAGGGAACCGGTAGTCGTGTCGACGGCGGGATGAATGTAATATGCTCTGCGTCAACCCTGTCCCGCCGTCTCAATGGCCACGACTAGGCTCCGGCCCGGTCCGGGGGTCGGGCGCCGGCTGTGAGCGGCAAGTTATGGTGAGGTTCAACTCCCACATACCCCACCTGCCTGGCGGGTGGGGATCGGGTGTTTTTCTGTACAAAAAAAAGGTGCTGTTCCAACTACGCGCTGACTCAAATTGACAATACTTACTAACACTAGCCCTAGTAAGAGCAGTGCTTCGCTGATTTTACCACCGGATCAGAATCGCGACCCACTGATAACATCCGGTGAGAAACTCAGTAGGCTGTGTCTGTGGGGCGCTACCGATTTAGTACAGGCAATGTGTAACTTGTTATCGTCATAATAATAAGAACATTGTGCTGATTATATTTTAAGACATGCGTAACAAATAATCTGCAGATTTTGTAAACGAAAAAATAATTAAGAAACATATTCATATTATCGTCTTGACAAATTTTTCTTGAAAATAATATCATCGTTCGTAATTTTTTTATCTCCGAGTATTATAAAATAAAATATTAATTGACAGATTTTGTTTTATACTTTTTACATTATATCGCGATATATGTGGGTTTTCACGCTATTATTTTTAATTTTTAATTAGATTGTAGATTATTTGATGTGTCATTTTTATTCCATAACGAATTCATCACGTTTCGTGCACAAGTGTAAATAAATAAATCAAATTCAATAAAAAATAATAATTGTTTTTTCAAGACTGATTTCATATATCACTTGTAAAATAACTACATATTTTATTTCCAGTTGCACCTCTGTCCGGGCGGCCGCTGATGCATTCGAATCGGAAAGGATGGCAAACGGTGATGGAGAATTCGTAGATTCAGGCGACTCCGGCGTCGATAGAAGCTTAATAGCGTTGGGCGTGATATGCGGGGTGTTGGCCATCACTTGCGTTATGCTCATCACTAAAATAATGCAGCTGACGAAGAGACCAAGGTACGTTTATCTTATTGACTGTTTTCTAATATACAATCTTGTTTTTTTTTTACTTAGATGAGCAGACCAGCTCACAGCCCACCTGGTGTTAAGTGGTTACTGGAGACAACGTAAATGCGCCACCCACCTTGAGATATAAGTTCTAAGGTCTCAAGTATAGTAACAACGGCTGCCCTACCCTTCAAACCGAGACGCATTACTGCTTCACGGCAGAAATAGGCAGGGTAGTGGTATCTACCCGGGCGGACGCAACCGGCCCTACAACCAGTAATTACGCAAATTATAATTTTGCGGGTTTGATTTTTATTACACGATGTTGTTCCTTCACCGTGTAAGTCGGAAATCAATCGTAAGTACATTTGTTAAGTAAGAAAATAATTTACGTGTCTTTAGATTGAAATCACAGCGTAACCGTATTATCCGATACGCCGAAAGTCTTACCCATTAGACCAGTCGCTTTGTTACGATGTTGACATATTAAGATTGCATTACATTCCGTCTACAGAATAAAGAAGCGTTTCATTGTGAACAAGAATGTAACACCAATGACGGCGCGCCCCGACCAGTGCGAGATAACCATCGAGAACTGTTGTAATATGAACATCTGTGAGACGGTGAGTCGAATCATCTTTAAACATCTATACTAATATTATAAAGAGGAAAGATTTGTTTGTTTGTTTGTTTCGAATAGGCTCCGAAACTACTGGACCGATTTGAAAAATTCTTTTTCCATTAGAAGCCGACATTGTACCTGATGAACATAGGCTACTTTTTTTTATTAATTTTTTTTGGTTTCATGTGTGTTTTAATGTTTCCGAAGCGAAGCGAGGGCGGGTCGCTAGTTGTCTAATATAATGACTTTCATCCCTCGGAATGAAGGAATGTCGAACGAATAATGTTTTTTTTTTAAGTTTTCATAGTTTACTTGAGTATTATTTAATTTCACTATCAGTGTCTGAATCGCGGGATTGTTAGCGCGCTCATGGGCCAAGGGTTCGTTGTTGTAGGGGTATTGTTGATTCGAGACTATTATTTTAAACTAGTCTGAAAGTCACCATACGTCCGACGTTTAAGCGGTTATTTGTACTATCAAGAGTAATTAATATGCTGTTAAATAATATTTCCCTGGTCTAATTAAAGACTCAATCAAAGCAAAGTTTTTGTTATAGATAATGCGTTTTTTTTTCTTTATATTTCATTTAAAAATAGCTTAGTTATAGTTCCGGGATATCTCATCCTTCAAATAGGAGCTTATGGAAACTTATCGATTTCCGGCAAATAATTTATACTGGTACTGCACAATTACATGAGTTGTATTGAAACATGAAAAAGTATGTAAAATCTATAAACGATCTCAGATTAGTTGTACCCGCGACTTTGACCGCGTGAACTCAAGGAGTCTCTTAGAAATGCATTTTTATATTATACCTGAGCAGGAAATAAACGCGTAAGCGAAAGACACGTTAACAAAACAATTACTCTGCGGTCGTTATTAATGACATGATAATAAGCAATATGGTGAATAAAACGTAACATTTGAACAAACAAAAAAAGTCAATAAGGAAGGTGCCGCTGTTTGTTCAGTTTAAAAACTTAAATACGATCAGTTTCACTAAAAAAGAAATACTTTCTGAAACGTGACCGTATCTAATAGAAACTGAAGAATCGTCATAAAAATATATATATTATTACGTAACATTGGACTTTACATACTGGGACATAAGGTCGAATGAGGGTAATCTAAATTCTGATAATCAATAACGACTACAATATTAGGAATGTGTTTAAAACTATTATACCTTCACATCCCGTAATTCTCTCCCGAATAGATATTGGCCCAATTACGTAGAAAAAACAATATAGTCCTCTAGAAATTGGTACAGCGAGAGTATCTGGAGGTCTTATTATTGTGATGAGGAGTATTTGATGACGAAGGACGAATTGTGATGATTATATTTTAAGACATGCGTAACAAATAACCTGCAGGTTTTGTAAACGAAAAAATAATTAAGAAACATATTCATATTATCGTCTTGACAAATTTTTCTTGAAAATAACATCATCGTTCGTAATTTTTTTATCTACGAGTATTATAAAATAAAATATTAATTGACAAATTTTGTTTTATACTTTTTACATTATATCGCGATATATGTGGGTTTTCACGCTATTATTTTTAGTTTTTAATTATTGTAGATTATTTGATGTGTCATTTTTATTCCGTAACGAATTCATCACGTTTCGTGCACAAGTGTAAATAAATAAATCAAATTCAATAAAAATTAATAATTGTTTTATCAAGACTGATTTCATATATCACTTGTAGAATAACTAAATATTTTATTTCCAGTTGGACTTGAAGACTTATCTTTTTAACTTAATTAATTAATAATTTTATTAATTATTTTCGAAATTAGCTCATCTATTTTCGAAGACAGTAATATAATAAAAACACCGAAATTTAATAGTGTCATACATACATAGAGAAATGAAGGTAGTGAATATTAATATTTTCATACAGGTCGATGACCCCTGGTCTCCTCGCCAGTAAATCTTAGGGGTCATTATGCTGTTTTACCGCCTTTGCACAATCTAAAGGTTCACTATTTTATAAAATTACCGCCTGCCTTGCATGACGATAGCGCACCCGCTTACTAACATTTAAATGTTGCTTAAAGCCTACTAAATATCATAAAGGACTTATGGGAGCATCACAAACCAAAACTTGAGGTTATGGTGTCTATCAAGATTGAGGAGTTTTATCCTTTTCAGCGATCTCTTCAAGGCAGCGCTGGATCAAACCAGCGCGGGGCCTGTAGTAATTATCAACACGGTTCCCTTCTTTTTTTTAAAAGGGATTTTATGACCTGGTAACTGAGACCTTTAAGTCATGTCTTATTTTAATTTATATTCATATTTTTATGAAAAATAATATTATGGAGTGAAATAAAATGAAGATGATTAATTTGAAACATTAATCAACTGGGATGAAATTAAATGAAATGAAATAGGATGAAATATAATCTCAGTAAAATGGTTGTCATTTACTAAGATTTTTTCAGTGGGCTTTTTGGAGGATCCCGAGAAGTTACGTCCAGCGGCTTTGTTTCATTTTCCCACATTTGTGCACTTTCACAGATATTAAACAGTTAATAAACCACCATTATTACACATTTAAACCCGAAGAAACACTAAATAGACAAAATAAAACAAATCACACAACTTCACTCCTCGCGTTCCCGCCAAAAAGTCACGGTTCCCTTTAATTGCATTTCGAGCATAGATTAGAGAAATCTACCGGCGATCAGAATAGTGTTTATAATTATAGTGATACTATACAATTATAAGTATAGTCAGCAGTAACTTTGACAACAACTGTTAGGTTATTTTTATCATAGTTTCTGGGTACAAAGCAGCTGGCTGACCCGTAGCGCATACGTCCAGTTACAAATGCACTTAGGCCCAGCGTGAGCGTTATTACGTAAGATGGCCGTTTTTGAATCATGAAATACTGCAAGTATTTGCAATTCAGATAATAATAGATTAAACTTATATTTTATCTTATATAGAATTTAAAGATACTATTTTTATATTTTACCCGAATAGACAAAGTCAAAACGGCTCAGTCCGTTTTCTGTCTGTTTGTCTAGCGTTTTTGACGGATTAGATTTATTTAGACAGCAATAGATATTTTTTAGGACATGTCGGCTCTATTACCCTTGTTGGCTGCCGGTGACGGGAACATGTAGTTAATACTTTTAAACAAATTCTGTGTGGTCGTATCGATCTAAGCAAAATTTAGACGGTTCGTTAAATACTACTTGTATTTCACTAAGCGAATTGTAATTTGATATTCTCACAAGAGCGCTTTGGCGGTTATGCGTGAACGAGTTCACGGCCCACTTGTTATTAAGTGATTAAAGCTCATAGACTTTACAATCGGAATACCGATATTTATGTAATACTAAGTCTCGATTGTGTAGTATAACGGTTGTCTAAGCTTTCAAACCAGAGCACATGACTGCTCTGTGGCATGAATTGGTAGAATGGTGGTAGCCGTGCTAGTTTACAGCACGTTTTACCACCAGTACAAACGCTATTGTTTTTTGCGGGTTTAATTATTATTATTATTATATTACTATTTATTACCCGATATTATTAGTTTATCGTGACTCAACAATGACGTAAAGCTGCCCGTAGACCTATTTGACTGGACGCACCGCTGAAAGCACTGCGATAAACAATTTGCATGGATTGTATTATCTAACAGAGATTAGATTTGAATTTTAACACGCTCACTACTGGCCTTCGTAAAATAGAAAATTGTATATCGATTATTTAATGCAGCTCCTGTGGTAGCATCGATTTTTTAGGTCCTTAATGAAGTAAACAAAATCAACAAAACACATTTTAAAGTTTTAATTCTTAGAAACAAAACACGTGCATGCGTTAGAGTCAAAGCCCGCTTCTTCATATCTCTTCAGTTTGTTACTTATCTATACACAAGACGCACAAAAACTTTGTGGAGTTATTTATAGTTTTTATACACATTTTAAAGTTTTAAATCTTTTAAGATTATAATTGAAAGTAATTCAAACATGTTTACTTCAGGTACTTTGTCGTATGTTATTGTTAGAAAAAAAAACCAAGCCTAGATTTCTTTTCTGTTTTTTTTTATGTTGTGTATTCATCTCCTCCACAAAAATTTTATTTTTCTGTTTAGTATTAGACCAGTCATGATATAAAAAAAACGTACTGACAGTCACTTCAAAATTTATATCACTTTTCAAAAATAATGAGAATTTATTTGTGTGATGTAACTCGAAATGCGTGTTTAACGTTTAAAAAATATCTTTGTGCTTTTTGCGAGTTTTTTAACGTTCTCGATAGCGTAAAAGTTAGCTCATATTTGTATGGAATGGGATCGTTTGCCTACGTTTGCCGCTAGGGGCGCTGTTCCAACTGCATACAAAATTAGGTTAACTTTTACGCTATCGAGAAAGTTAAAAAACTCGCACTAAGCACACTGATAGTGTTACGTACAATCTTATGATCGAAACTGAAACTTCTCGTGTTCTACACTCATAAGAAATGTAGACAAGGCTTAGAGTGAATGTAATTTAAGCTAACTCAACATGCTTCTTAACAATTATTACTTTACTACTAGTCTAATAATACTATTATACTAATTCAGCTGCTCAAAGCTTATCACTCGTAAGACGATGACGTGTAAGCGAATAATGTTACTAACAATAAGTATTTAAGGTGCGAAGGTTAAAAGCAGTCACATTCTACCAATGTCTTCGTCTAAGATACTTTTACGGTTTAATCTCGCGTCTTATATTATATTAATTTTTTACAATTTCCAACGTAATTTTCATTTAAAATTTCATGTATTTGTCCAGTGATTGAACTTCGTAGATCTCTCAGTTTTGATTAACTTGGGTCTCGTATTCACGATTAGAACATCCCGAGTGTTAGATAAGATATAGAGAAACGCGAGGTCAAACCGTAAAAAGATTTGTCATCGTTACCGCGTAGGTATTGCGAAAATTGCGTAATTTATAAAATCTCTATTGTTCCAGCCTTGTTTCGAACCGGGATCAACTATACGGCCTTCCCTTCTCGACGCAAAGCCAGGTAAAGAAGAAAAGAAGAATCTAATCTCACATATGGAGTACCCAGAAGATTAATTAAAGAATATCAGTTAATTGAAATGTGTAAAATCCAAAGTTTAGCAGGCATAACAAAATTTTAAAATCAGTTTTAGTTGCCGATAAAAAACGTATTGAAGAAATGACAAGTAATCAATTTATAATTGAAAGTACTCTATTAGTTGATGTGTTATTGAAACTGAGCTAAGTGAAATCAAAACAATTATCTTAGACTATGATCGTTTCACTTTTTTGCATCGATGTTTACTTTTAATTGTTTACACGAGACAAGGAATTTCTTTCATTGTGCCAAAGGTTGTATGGTGATATTTAATAGGACCATAATGTGATGGATTTTTCAACAACGATATAATGTCGAAAGGGCTGTGCTAACAAAAAACATTTTAGATTATTGTATCGGTCTTAAATCATTGCGATCGGTGATCGGTGAAAATTCTTAAATTTAATAGTACGAACATTGCGCGCGCTAAATCGAAAGCAATCGAAACGTATCATATTGTAGTAAGTACACAATGTACAATGAAAGCTTAATGCTTTCGGTGAACTAACGGTTCAACAAATTTGTATGTGATTTCAACAAGTTTAACACGTTAACTGCAGAATCATTTTTGAGGGACTTTTAGCCCGTGCGTATGAGATCTTTTCGAAGCAAGATTGGACTTCTTCTCAATGCGTATGAGGTCTGATAGGCCTCACAAAGAATCGTTATTGAATACGCACACACTGATAGAAGTGTGTATGTAGTCGCCTCTCGCACAGAGCGAAAGAACGCGATTTTAACTGCCGCACTAGAGGGCAGTCGCGCATGGGTTTTTTTAAGCAGCATAACGCAGTCAGCGTGTTAAGAAAAAACTTAGTGTTGCTGAAATATGCCTCAGTGTTGCATGATTATTAAACTCACAACGTGCCTTCAACGTAAATAAAGCTATAAATGAAACAATAAATAGGGTTACCGCCAAGCCGCTACGCAACGTACCAACTATTAACTGAATTTTTATTATGGAAGATTAATCAGTTCACATGGATCACATTTGATGTTGCTGCACATTTGGCAGATTTAATGTGACTGATTAAGTGTGAATAGAAAAAATAATAAGTTTTTTTTTAAAGAGCATTTAACTATTTAAATAGTGTACCATTTTGTATAGATTTATAACTTCTTATTTTTATTTATTGAACCAAAAAAGATTATGTAAGTGACATTCTGTTGGCGTTTCATTGTTGGACATAGCTTGATCTAATTGACTTGTTCGTTATCTATTTACAAAACAATATATATTTCAACTTAATTTATTTATGTTTAAACGTCTTATGCCGTTTTGCCGTATTAATTTAACATTGCGATGTGTTCCAATTAATAATAAGCGGATAAGACTTGTTGACTATTTGTAAAGTATGAATCGAGTGAGAAAAACGGTTTCTGTCATAAATTTTTATCCCTGATATATACCTACGTGGCGTCCTCTTGCTTCAACTTAGATGTTCCTCGGTTCTAACCTATTTCAAATCGAAAGGAAGAAGGAAGTTCTCAATAGGGGCTGTTCAGTCTCATTTCGTTTGCGACGGGTACATACACGATAGTCGTCAGAATGGTGAAAGAATCATAGATAATGCACTATAGAATGCTGGAATAAGAAAGGAATGCTGTGACTATGTTCGTTCGTAAAACGAATACTATTAGATTGCAATATAAAGTCAAAATTCAGCTATAAAATCTTAAGCGGTATGTATGTACTTAGTATTTAGTGTTTATCAAGTTTACTTGCCATTCTGATGGTTGTCAGTGAATGGGTTAATTTCGTACAGTCATGTTAATTGAAGGCAAAATATAAACCAAATTTCCTTGCGTGAAGTAAGAGGAGAAGACACTGAAACTATCAAAAGGTTGTATTTTTTATCTCTTATAATGAAATAAAATTGGTATTTGTTGATTTCTAAAGTAACATTAACACTTTTTTGTTTTTATTTATGTTTTGTAGGTGATGTTTGTAGTTTCGAGATGAGTTTTTTTTTTGTTTCTAACAAAGTGTGACCGAGGGTTCTTATGGAAAAGTAGTGTAAGGATTTACGTTCCTATAATTTCTAATATCATATTTTCAAAGTACCTCAATATAAACTGCAACAACAAACTTAAATGCCGTTCATATTTTTATGTAATTCTATATTAAATTTATTGACATTAATCAAATATTGTAAAATTGAAACATTTTTTTAATTATTATCTAACAACATGATTGTGACATCTTATTTATTTAGTAGAATCTCATTTTGTACTATAAATACCAAATTTACTTAAACCATTTACGTACTTATGTCCAATTACAATTTTGATAAATATATACATTCATATTAGTATCAATTCACAATAGTAGTGACAAATAGATTTACATTGTTTTTTTTAAAATACGTCAATATTTTTTTTTTTTTTTGACATCTCACATACCGAAATTATCTCCAAATAAAGTTCAATATTATTTATGGCTACCAACTAATGCCTTACTCTTTGTCGTTTGGGCGGAGGCTACAGGTAGAGGAGGGCTACCTTATTCATAATACTATAAAGATCAAATGGAAAGAGCAAAATTATCAATGAACTTAACAGTAATTAATTTCATTTCAAAATATTGCTATACTAAATTTATTTATTATTACTTAAAAATTGATAAACTGTGACGCTATTAAAATTTTTGGCTTTTTCAAACAAAATTGATGCTTTTCACATCTACCCTCCAGTTTATACATATTTATTATTTTTGTTTTTAACTTTTTAGGCACAAGTATACTAACACAAACGCCTTACAATATATTGGTGGTACTTAGCTGAGTAGTTAGATAATTTAGATTATAGTACTTAATTAGCTTTAGTCAGTGGATTAATAATATCCACATCAGAAATGTGATATTATTGAGTCTTTGTATAAGGATCCATTAGTTGCGTAAGTTTTAATATGAAAATAAAGAGGTTTGCAAAATTGTCTGGTTTTATTGATATCAAATTATAGCAAACATCAACAGTTTGCTAAAATAATATGATTACATCACGTAATTTTCAATTAGTCAATAGAATTTTCAACTAAACAGTTCCAATAAAGTAAAATGACCGTTTTTTTGCTTAGATGTATAGACGAGCTCACGGTCCGCCTGGTTTTAAATTGTTACCGGAGCCCGTAGATATCTACAACGTTAAATCCGCCACCTACCTTGAAACATGAGTTCTAAGGTCCCAGTTTTACAATACATTGGTTGCCCCTCCCTACAAACCGAAAAGCATTACTGCTTCATGGCAGAGAAAGGTAGGGTGGGGGGGGGGGGCTGCCCGTGCGGACTCGCAAGACGTCCTGCCACCAGCAATTACGCCAATTATATTTTTTTATGGATTTTGATTTTTATAACATGTTGATATTCCTTCACCTCAGAAGTCATTGTGGAATCGTGAACATAAAATATGTTAAGTACGTGTTTAATTAGAAAAACTGGTAGGTACCCGCCTGCGGGATACGAACACCGGCACACTTGCGTTGCTTTATACGAATGCAACAGGAGCCTTATCCTTTAGGCCACTACGACTTTAAAGTGTTGGTAGGGCAGATTGTAGGAGCGTTTCTCTTAACCGTAAAAATCTATTGGTACCGTGAAGCCATTCGCTACACTTTGGAGTGTGGGACTATATATTGACTACTGGCTCTTTACCTATAAAATTGCCGATTAGTATACAGAAATACATTTTTTATCTCTATAAATCGTATCTCTGCCAGCGCAGTGGTAGTTTAACGGCAATTTTCAATCCCATTCTTGAAGAAGTCAGGAGTAGGAGAGCCCACAAACTCTTCAAAGGCATTCTGTAAAATTTTGGAAAAAGTAGAAGTCTGTTGGCACAAGGTCTGGTGAGTACTGTGGATGACGCAAAACTTCCGCCGCTACTTGTAGCTTAGAGAATTTGATGTGCTGAAGTCGAGCATTGTTCAGGAGCAGCGGAGACGAGCGGTTAACTAAGGCTGGCCGAAAATTCGCGAGCTTCTCCATCATTGTGTCCATTTCCTCCAGTAAATTCGCAGTAATGCTGATGCCATTTGGTAATAAGATGTGATGAATTATACTGACCAGCAAACGTGAGTTTCTTAAAGGTAAGTTTTCGTTGAGCCATTGCCTGGGTGCTAAGCAACATGAAGACTGCTTAAAACAACAAGAACCTTTTTTCATCGCAACTGACAATGCGATTTAAAATGCCTTAATTTCTGTGTCCATTAAGCAGCGCAATGCACACCTTAACGCGTTTGTCGCACAGACTAGTTTTTTACCTTTTTACGCAAACGACGCAAATAGACAAATATTGTTTTGACTATAACATTCAAAACTGCTGCTGGCTCAGCGGTACGTAGAATACCGTCAGCTTCCACAATCGTCATTAATTCGTGATGGTTGGCTTTAGTTTTTGGGTGACGCCGGGGTTCATCTTTCAAGATCAACATTTCCACATTCAAACCCAAAACAGAGTCGTACGTTCATATGTAGTGTTCACTCCGTACAAGTCATTATATTAAGAGCCTTTTTACAGCGTTGCTACCGCAGAAGAACTCGTAGTCCATGATTACTCGCATTTTTATCTTTTCCATACTAATAAAAAAGTTGCGTTAAACGTTTAACGCAACCTTGTTGGTGGTAGGACCTCTTGTGAGTCCGCACGGGTAGGTACCACCACCCTGCCTATTTCTGCCGTGAAGCAGTAATGCGTTTCGGTTTGAAGGGCGGGGCAGCCGTTGTAACTATAATTGAGACCTTAGAACTTATATCTCAAGATGGGTGGCGCATTTACGTTGTAGATGTCTATGGGCTCCAGTAACCACTTAACACCAGGTGGGCTGTGAGCTCGTCCACTCATCTAAGCAATAAAAAAAAATAAAAAAAAAGTAGCATTAGAAATTTCACTTCAAAAAAACTGTTTAAATTTCATCATAGGTCATAGAATTCGAATAAACTTTCGTAGCTATCTACTTACATTACACACACTATTATTTAAAGGTTTCTTACAACAAATTTTCGGGAAGTCATTACGTGTGAATATCACGGTAAGAACCCGATATGATGGGTCGAATAGTCTACAATAGCCAAGGATTGGGATTATGAGCACCAGTAGTGGAATTCAAGCCATAACTATGATTAGTGTGCTTGAAACTCAATTTTATATCCATACAAATTTGAGTTAACTTTTACGCGATCGAGAAGTTAAGAAACTCGCATTATATACACTGACGCGTCGAATTCAATCAAGGGAAAAGTATGAACACAGCAAAAGGACAAAAATAAGAACAAAACATTTTTGGTAACGCACATTTTTTTGCAAACATATTTTATTTATTATTAATGTTAGAGCCATTTAACTCTACAATATTTTTTTCAATTAATATTAAGTAAACAGTTATATTATTATACATTTAATAATAAAATTTATTGCATTTTCAACTATTATAAACATATATAGGCAAATATACGTATGTACTTGCTATCTACTAAAATCTCAAAACAACAGAGTATCACATACAAAGTATTTAAAACTAAATAAATATATTATGTCGCGTAATGCGTGTAATACATATACATCGCAATTATTATTTCCGATATTCTTACTGTATTAATGAGAGGTGACAATTTAGAGAAGCTGCTGGTAACAAGCAACGTAAGCTGAAGAAGGGCCCAGAGGCAAAAGTCCAATGCGCTGGTCGAACCAGATACGCTCTACTCAACAATTTAGTCAACTTTGCTATCCACACAGCCACACACACACCTTTTGAGTAGGAACAGCCAAAAATTACAATTTTCAAAATTTAAAATTTTTTTAAAGAGCCACTACAAAAATTCTTGCCAGCAATAAATAGTTCTTGCATAAATTAATTATTTTTGAAAAAAAAAAAACGAATCTAATAATTCATAAGAAAAATATCTATTTATTCTTATATAGGTAGTGATTTTTTACAACAACTTAGATAATATATATGGTATTATTGGATAATCACTTATTATTTAAGTAAAAAATGAAAACGAACATTTACTTACAACAATGGGCTGAAAGATAGAAATGGTGCCCAATCTTCGTTAGTCGATTCAGAACAATTTTTAAATGTTTTTTTTTTTATAAAATAAATAATTTTTGCGTATGGAATTAAAGAGCCACATTTTTAAATAAAAAAAAAAAATGTGGCTCGCGAGCCTCAGGTTGCTGACCCCTGCCTTAGGTGATTAACAAAGGGTAGAGTCTGTATGACGCGAGATCATTGACCCCAGATGACAACTCATTCCTAATTGCATTACGTTGCGTGCAGAACAAAGCAGCTGATAATTTAATGATGTTTTTTTTTAACTTTCTCAAGCCTGTTTATGATGTCATTTATTTGTTTGCTTTTCGAACAAATGCTGATTAAGTGTGCGTTTTTTTTTTATGACAATCGACCCGTTTTTAGCGCAACTAACACTATGTAAAACTAACACTGTACGTACATCAGTATAACTATGCACGAGAACTTCTCAACATACGCCACAAAAAAGTTACGTATTATATCACTAAATTGAATAGCAATTGCGAAACTAGAGCCAAAAAGGCAGAATGCATTGTTAGATTTTTCATCAAATGATTGGGTTACAAAGGGCACTCGAAAACATTTACTGAATCGTTTGTTTCAAGTGTGCGATTCTTATTTTTAAAAGTTTGCATAAATTGCATCCTAAGTTTTGCATCAAATTAAACAGGGCATATACGAGTGTTGTACACTTCGAAAAGCTACTAATGTGTGGTATACAAATAAATATTAGACTAAATTATATTATAAGTAGAAAGTACAAAAAACTAACTCTATAATTATTCAAATTAGAACGATATTAATAATTTACTAATATAAAATAATTATTCACAACACAACAAAAATGGAATGCTACGCTAAGTGCAACAATGGAGTTAACGAAGAATTTTGTTTTGTGCACAGTCACAATACAAATAGTAATAATACCTATTTTATAATAAATTATAAAGTTATACTTGTTACAAGACCACATTATTGTAAGCTTATGTTATGAGCGTGAGTTATAAGGGGTGAAGTGTGCGTATAAATATATGTATTCAGAAATAATCAAACGAGCTACGGAATCAAATCTAAAAAAAAGCCATTACGCTAGTCGGTTACCGATTATGTTCTTTAAAAAAAACACTCCCTGTATATTATTCCTAGATACTGTTCCATATAAAGATAAAATTCTGGAAAGTTGTACATCGCTGATCGAATCCATTACATTATATTGAGAATAAGAATATTGAATCAGTAAACAGGTAACTAGATGCTTTGTTAATAAATAAAAAAACAATTAAAATTCAATTTGAAATTTTACGTCACAAGCAGTAAACATGAAATAGGCAGATAAAGTCGAGCACCACATTCTAGCCTATTCTTTGGTTATAACACTACTGCTGAGTAGCATCTCTAAGCTATTAGCAAACACCATGCTCTATTGCAAATTATATATTATAACTTTTGTCTACTTTATACAATCATAGAACTTTATTAGACGCGCGCACAACCGTGTATATATTAAAAAAAAAAAAAACCTCTTATCAACAAATTGTTCTTTTCCATTAGAGTAACAAAACATTAAACGCTTTCTTTCTACAACGAACCAACGTCAAGCAGACATAACATTACTAATATACACATTACTGAATCAATTTTACAATTACTGCACATTTATATTATTACCTATGTATATATTATTATGTAATAAGATCACAGCTTGCATTGGTAGGGTTATAGTTTACTTGACATTTTCACCTGAAACAAGCACTACTATTATTATTGAGCTCACATTAACAATTTTAAAGTTGCGTGACATCATCAATATTTAGTCAATAATAATTATCATTATAACTCGGAAGTGACTCTTTCATATCTTTTGGCAGACGGATTTTTTATTCTATTCCAAGAATAAAACAACAAATTAGATATTCCTCTACATTCACAACTAGGAATTCAGCAACAAAACTAGTTATTATTCCACATTTATAAAGTTATATCTCGTCGAGTGCGCGTTTGATTTAATACTGTTACGCCGATAAGAGTAACGCCATCTATCGCCGAATAGCCGAAACGATTATCAAAGGAAATCGTAACTTTGAGAAAGCTCGAGACGTACAACGCCATCTATTGTCAGATAGCGGAAACACACCTCGAAGCTACTCAAGTTGCCTAGAACGTTCTGAATAAATTTAGGAATGTCGTCTCGACTATAAAAGCGTTGCAGGGATGGCGCAAAGTAGTTAGTAATCGGAACTACTCGAAGAAGCAGTGAATTGAAAATTTTAAGGTGTTCGTTAAGTGTAACTATAGTAGAATTATTTGGTCCGTGCAGTTTGGGTCATAAAACATAGCCCGGCTAGGGCGGTGAGCATGTTGCGCGGGCGCAACGTTGTTATCGATAAAAACAAATGAATCATCGAAGGCAGGTACACGGCGGCGGGGCGGTATACGAAGGGTGGTGCGACATTGTTATGTAAAAGTCATTAGCACTTACCTGCAAATTATAATACATTATGTCGAAGAGAAATGTATTCTATGCATTCGTTCTCTGAATTTCTTTAGTGACACAATGGCTACTCCTTTGTTTTGTATCAAAACGGCCGAATTTATTCAAAATAATATTTACACGTGTTGTTATCAACAATGATTTAAAAGTTTTCACTGAAATAAGAATAGATCCCGAAAAGTTACAAAGTGTTAATTTCTGCCGTTCTCGTTAACTTGCTGCGGCGATATGTGGTGTAAGTGTTCGATTAATGATTTTTGCTTTCATTTATATCAGTAACCCACAAAATGACAAAACTAAATACACTATCGATAACGCTTATCGGCAACAATAATGCGCATCACTATGCCCGTCCATAAGGCTTGTGAGTGGAAGAGAGAGCGAAATACTCGCTTCACGGCTCCGGTTTTTTATGACCCAAACTGCACGGACAAAATAATTCTACTATAAGTGTTAATACAGTGTTAATTTGTACTTCGGTATAATTTTTATTTATCCCGAACCCCAGCCCGTGTCAATGCTTTACTTAAATAGTGTTATGAATCATCTAAGTGTTCGCGAGGGTGGACTGACCGGCTTCGGCGAGGAGGGCGGCCAGCTCGGCGACCTCATCCCGGTGGTCGCGCATGTAGGCCTGCGCCTCCCACAGCATGCAGACCAGCCTCTCGTCGGAGCGCTCGTCCATGCTGACGTCGCGCGACATCGGCGGCGAGAACCGGTAGTACGGCACGCCCGCCGCGCCGCACCACGCGCGCGCCCGCTCCACCACGCGCCCGTCCGCCTGCGTCGCCTGCACGAGACACAACCTATGCAATCAACTAACACTACCAACTAAACTACTTATTTTTCTACGTATGCTGATAGCCTTGAGATATTTTTTTATTGCATAGATGGTTGGACGAACTCACAGCCCCCCTGGTGTTAAGCGATTACTGCAGCCTATAGACATCTACAACGTAAATGCTGCCACCCACCTTGATATATGAGTTCTAAGAATTCAGTATAGTTACAACGGCTGCCCCACCCTTCAAGCCGAAACGCATTACTGCTTCACGGCAGAAATAGGCAGGGTGGTGGTACCCGCGCGGACTCATAAGAGGTCCTACCACCATAGTGATTAATACCCATCCGTGCGGACTCACAAGATGTTCTACCGCTAGTAAAAAAAAACATTATGATCATTACTAAAATCTCTCATTATCTTGAAGCCCTAAATTGTTGAAGACTTCACTTCTGTGTGAATTGCACAGATGTTTTCTTTATCCTTTTTTTAATGGGATTTTATGACCTGGTAACTAAGACTTTTAAGTCATGTCTTATTATAATTTAGATTCTTATTTTTGAAATGAAATGACGATGATTAATTAGAGACATTAATCAACTGAGATGAAATTAAATGAAATGAGATGAGATGATACGGAGTGAAATGTAATCTCAGTAAAATTGTGGTCGTTTACAGAGATTTTTTCAGTGGACTTTTTGGGAGGACCCAGAGAAGTTACGTCCAGCGGCTTTGTTTCATTTTCCCACATTTGTACACTTTCACAGATATTAAACAGTTAATAAACCACCGTTATTACACATTTAAACCTGAAGAAACACTAAATAAAACAAATCACACAACTTCACTCCTCGCATTCCCGCCAAAAAGTCTGGTTTTATTTTCGATTTTTATCTGTAGCGGGTAGGTTTAAAAAATGAAGCATTTCAAGGTCGGACCTGGTCGACCAGCAGGCTGCCCAGCGCCGACAGTCCCCAGGCCAGCCGCGCCGTGTCCCACAGGCTCTCCGGCTTGAACACGTCGAAGTCCTTCACGGGCGTCACGGGGATTTGTCCTGAAAATCACACGCAAATATTTTCGCAGGAAAATTACTCGACACATTCAGACATAGTTGGGTGATTTATTAAATAAATATTAACCACAATTCATCATTATAGTATTGCTATTTATGAATTATATTCTTTATCAATCGATAAATACATTGCGGTTAATTTATTTCCTGAAGCGATTATTGTCCAGCGTATGGTTGTTCGGAAGAGATCGTTCTTAATGATAAAACTAACCATTGTACTTATGTATTTAATGTTTTGCATTTGTATTTATTTTGTGTGCAAGTGGAGTCCTTTAATGGGTAAGGCTCTAAAGATATCCTTGGGTCCGCAGTCCCCTCCCAGAAACGGTGGATCGTCAAGACTCACATACCCGGCGCGTCCCCTAAGTTGAATTTGACATAATGTTTCTGGTTATAAAACACGTTCCGTTTGTGGCGGTAACCATTACAGAACGCAAGATATTTGACAGATGCCTGAATCTCCTTTACGACATTTTCAAGATTAGCTTGCATATATACAAGTTCCGAACAACAACATTCGGACCGTCGGTCTACCGAGCAATTTCACCCGCTCGGTGGAAGATCTTCCTTTTTTTTATTTTTCTTACCTATGCTGATAGCCTTGAGCGGCTAATTCAGCTTCACCCTAACGTGTAGGTGAGCTCACGGGGCTCAAACCGGAGTGTTACTAACACTGGCCCTAACAAGAGCAGTGCTTCGAAGAATCTACCGCCGGATCGGAAACGCGACCCACTGTGAAGATCCGGCGAGAAACTCAGTGGGCTATGTCTGTGGGTTAATTCGAGGACGGTGACCGGTGCTTGTGGTACCTAAAAGCACCGTTAATGGATCAGGAGGATCCGTAATGACGTGTTTTGGGCGATGTCGACTATGTACCATTCGGTCTACAGGATCGGGTACGTAAGAGATCTTCCTTTCGTCACGTTTAGCGACCCATGCAAGTGTACGGTGTGGGCACGCACCTGTCCCGCAGGACACGACTATCTTGAGGCCGCAGGCGGCGGCGAGCTCGCCCCGGCCGGTGCCGCGCAGCGCCAGGCCCAGCTCCGCCAGCTCCGTGAGCGCGTCCAGGGTGGGGTTGTTGCCCATGAGCCCACCGTCCAGGTACCTGCGAGCGAATTATCAAAACTAACTTTGTTCTTGCATTAACGGGTAAACCAATGTACGGCCCACCTCATGTTAAGTGGTTACCGGAGTTCAGAGACATGACTGACGTGAACAGCGCCACTCACTTTTGTGACATGCGGTCTAAGTCTCAACTGTCGAACTAGACGGATTACTGCTTCGGGTCAAATATGAGAAGAGCAGAAATAAACAAAATAGAGAAAAATATCTCAAGTTTCTATTTCATTAATTAATTATATACGAATGTAACCGGGGGTAAAAGTTAGTATTATATTACTATAACAGAACAATAAGAATACTCTTATACTAACCTAAAATAACATTAAATCGAACGTCTTGTAAGAGCGCCAAAGAGTCTTTTTTGGTATTTCGTAAGTGACAAAAAAAAATGTAAACACCAGTAAATTTTGTATCCTTGCTTGCGTATCTACCAAAGCATAGTAGAGTTCGGTTCAAAGTTAGCCTTCAGATTCGCCTCTACTCGAAGGCTCATACCGTTTTTTTTTTTAAATATCTATGTGTAAATATACCAACAGTGGCGCACTATAATCGAAGCCATCTAAAGGATAAGACGTCCGGTGCATTCGTATCGAGCGATGCGCCGGTGTTCGAATCCCGCTGGCGGGTACCAACTTTTCTAATGAAATACGTACTCAACAAATGTTCACGATTGACTTCCACGGTGAAGGAATAACATCGTGCAATAAAAATCAAACCCGCAAAATTATAATTTGCGTAATTACTGGTGGTAGAACCTCTTGTGAGTCCGCACGGGTAGGTACCACCGCCCCGCCTATTTCTGCCGTGAAGCAGTAATGCGTTTCAGTTTGAAGGGTGGGGAAGCCGTTGTGACTATACTGAGACCTTAGAACTATATTTCAAGGTGTGTGGCGCATTTACGTTGTAGATGTCTATGGGCTCCAGTAACCACTTAACATCAGGTGGGCTGTGAGCTCGTGCACACATCTAAGCAATAAAAAAAAAAAAAGAAGCCAGACTNTTCAAAGAATACGGTTCAAAACCTGCATTAAATAAAGGTTAATAGTTAACCTGTTATTTATCTAAGATGTCGTTCCGAAGAGTTTTGTGACTGCCAATGGAATACAAAGTCAATAATTCGTTTTTCTGATTTACCAATCATTGTCCAAAAGTCAGATTGCCGCCTTTGATAATAGTCGACTCATATACAAGTTCCGAACAACAACATTCGGACCGTCGGTCTACCGAGCAATTTCACCCGCTCGGTGGAAGATCTTCCTTTTTTTTATTTTTCTTACCTATGCTGATAGCCTTCAGCGGCTAATTCAGCTTCACCCTAACGTGTAGGTGAGCTCACGGGGCTCAAATCGGAGTGTTACTAACACTGGCCCTAACAAGAGCAGTGCTTCGAAGAATCTACCGCCGGATCGGAAACGCGACCCACTGTGAAGATCCAGCGAGAAACTCAATGGGCTGTGTCTGTGGGTTAATTCGAGGACGGTGACCGGTGCTTGTGGTACCTAAAAGCACCGTTAATGCATTGGGAGGATCCGTAATGACGTGTTTTGGGCGACGTCGACTATTTACCATTCGGTCTACAGGATCGGGTACGTAAGAGATCTTCCTTTCGTCACGTTTAGCGACCCATGCAAGTGTACGGTGTGGGCACGCACCTGTCCCGCAGGACACGACTATCTTGAGGCCGCAGGCGGCGGCGAGCTCGCCCCGGCCGGTGCCGCGCAGCGCCAGGCCCAGCTCCGCCAGCTCCGTGAGCGCGTCCAGGGTGGGGTTGTTGCCCATGAGCCCACCGTCCAGGTACCTGCGAGCGAATTATCAAAACTAACCAGGAGGGCAGACAAATTTTAAGCCATTATAATTCTCAATAGGTTTTGTTCTTGCATTAACGGGTAAACCAATGTACGGCCCACCTCATGTTAAGTGGTTACCGGAGTCCAGAGACATGACTGACGTGAACAGCACCACTCACTTTCGTGACATGCGGTCTAAGTCTCAACTGTCGAACTAGACGGATTACTGCTTCGGGTCAAATATGAGAAGAGCAGAAATAAACAAAATAGAGAAAAAAAATCTCAAGTTTCAATTTCATTAATTAATTAATAAGAATGTAACCGGGGGTAAAAGTTAGTATTATATTACTATAACAGAATAATAAGAATACTCGTATACTAACCTAAAATAACATTAAATCGAACGTCTTGTAAGAGCGCCAAAGAGTATTTTTTCGTATTTCGTAAGTGACAAAAAAAAATGTAAACACCAGTAAATTTTGTATCCTTGCTTGCGTATCTACCAAAGCATAGTAGAGTTCGGTTCGAAGTTAGCCTTCAGATTCGCCTCTACTCGAAGGCTCATACCGATATATTTTTTAAATATCTATGTGTAAATATACCAACAGTGGCGGACTATAATCGAAGCCAGACTAGATCTGTTAAGTTTTAGCAAAATTGTTGCGTTTTATGTATTGTGTTGTGTTCATGAAGTTTGACGATATTTCTCGGTACATCAGACTGCCGTTGAGACCATTCACTTGAAGCCTCACGTCGCGTGCTACGACCTCAGTTGAGTGTGAGAGGCGAGTGCCGTACCTGCCCGAAGCCCGGAAGTAGGAGGGCGCGGCCCCGGTGGCGCGCGCCACCTGCCACACGAGCTGCTGGTGGGGGGGCGGGGGCGGGGGGGCCGCCGACTCGTCGCCGCCGCCCGCCGCCGGACCTGACGGCACAGTGCACTCGTTAAGAAACCAGCATAGCAAAACAAGATTAAATAAATCTATAAATAATCAGGTACAAGCCCACTGAGTTTTTCGCCGGATCTTCTCAGTGGGTCACGTTTCCGATCCGGTCGTAGATTTTGCGAAGCACGGCTCTTGCTAGGGTTCGTGTTAGCAACGTCGTCAGGTTTGAACCCCATGAGTTCACCTCATAGTTAAGATTACGCTGAAATAGACTATCAAAACTATCGGTTTAGGTGGAAAAAAAAAACAGGTACAAAACCCCATAAGTTCATCTGGCCCTAAATTAAGTTTTTTGGTACTAAGAACCAAAATACATAGTTGTATCTGTTTATATTTATTTATAATGTTAGAATAGGAACTCACGACCCTCGGTCCAGCAGTAAGGGACGCTACTACGGCAACAAGTCAGTCGAATTATTATGTTAAATACATAGATTACTTTTAGATCTGCGTAACCACAGAACCCTACGTACTTATCCCATTTGTATGTCCGATCGTGACAGCCAATCTAGGATTATATAGATCAATGTTTCTCAACCACCGCCGCGCCACACACTATTCTATATACAAGTAAACAAATTTTATACTTATACGTCTTTGTGTATTGGTGTCATTTTTTTTAAATGGCGTCGCAACAAACAAATAATTGAGAATCACTGGTATAGATAAAAAGTCGTTATGAAAAAAAAGTATTTTTTTTAATTTAATTTTATTTTAATAAATTTAATTTTAATTTTGTATTGATTCACTTTTGCATAGCACCGTTTATTTTAGAGTGAACGTGCGTTTGCAACGACGTCCTTACATTTTATTTAGCAGAAGTTGTACATATTTGGTACGACAATATTTGTACTAACCGGTCGTGCCGTTGTGTTCGCTGAGTATTTCGTGAGCAGACTTGTAGTTCCTGAAGATGTGCAGGTCCACCGGCTTCCGGTCGGCGAGCACGGCCAGGATCATCAGCTTCGGATGCTTTATATCCGACATTACTGTTTCTGTACCTGTAATTATTTTGTCGTCTTATAAAAAACTAAAATTGCCAGTAATTAACAGATTGAACAAAAATACATTATTATGTATATATGTATATAAAAATAAATTACTGTTCGTTTAGTCTCGCTAAAACTCGAGAACGGCTGGACCGATTTGGCTAATTTTGTTCTAGAATTATTTGTGGAAGTCCAGAGAAGGTTTAAAAGGTAGATAAATATGAAAATGCTCGGAATTAAATAACAATTACAATTTTGTTTTTCCTTTGATGTTTATTTTAAGTTTATTTTATACAGAAGTTTAGGTATTTTATTTATCGATTGAGGCACTACGAAATCTGCCGGGTCAGCTAGTGAATAATACATTTAAATGGAAAAAAATCGCTCGTTTATGGAGACAATACGGTGCAGATTGAAAACTTATACTTTTTTCCCGGGGTGAACTTTTTTTTTTTTAAGAACGACGATATGCACACTACTTAAAAAAAATTAGAGCAACAGTTCTCAAAAGAACCACAACCGAATATACCATGACTCTTTATACCGACCAACAGTATTAAAAAAAAATTATTTATTTTTTATTGCTTAGATGGGTGGACGAGCTCACAGCCCACCTGGTGTTAAGCGGTTACTGGAGCCCATAGACATCTACAACGTAGACGCGCCACCCACCTTGAGATACAAGTTCTAAGGTCTCAGTATAGTTACAACGGCGGCCCCACCCTTCATCAAACCGAAACGCATTACTGCTTCACGGCAGAAATAGGGAGGGTGGTGGTACCTACCCGCGCGAACTCACAAGAGGTCCTACCACCAGTAGGGTAGCTCTTAAAAGTACATAAGACTTGTTATTTACCTAAGCACTCCTTCAAGATGTTCTCGAGCGCCTCCGAAGGGTACGGTCTCATGCCAACGAACGCGAGCTCCTTCAGTCTGAAGTACAGCTGCTGGCATTCCCTTAAAGTTTTCCCGCTGGCCAACGCCAACGCCAGGATGCCCCCGGTGCTGGTCCCGGCCACCCAGTCGAAGCAGTGTATGATGGGTTTCCCGACCGCCTCCTCCAGGCTCAGGAGCAGTTGGACGAGCACCAGGCCCCTGATGCCGCCGCCGTCCAGGCACAGCAAACTGGAATTGCGTTCGAATATCTCAAAGACCGTTGGTTGTGGATTAAGTATCTTGTCCTATCTGATGGTATGTGTCTAGGACTTAGGTACGTGTTTGCGGATCATCAGACGAGTACACGGTACATACGTGGGAAAACGGAACGTTTTCGAGTGAAAGGGATGAATGTATGAGGAAGAAAGGGACGGAGGGGAATTGGTCAAGATGGCGATCGGGCATAGTAAGAGTGTGAACGATTACGACGTGTTTTTTTTTTATTGCTCTTGTAGGCAGACAACCATACGGCCCACCTGATGGTGAGTGGTTACCGTCGCCCATGGACTTCAGCAATGCCAGGGGCAGAGCCAAGCCGCTGCCTACAGCTTGATACTCTCCACAAGCCTCGTTTGAAGAAGGACACGTCATAGCGCTCGGGAAACAACGTGGAGGGGAGCTCATTCCATAGCCGGATGGTACGTGGCAAAAAAGACCTCTGGAAACGCTCTGTGGATGACCGCAGTGGCTCCAGGTAGTATGGATGAACTCTACTCCGGTGGCGGGCGGTGCGATGGTAAAAACGAGATGCCGGTATCATCTCGAACAATTCCTCAGAGCACTCCCCATGGAACATATGGTACAAAATACCAAGGGAACCGAAGTCCCTCCGCAGACCCAGAGGTTCCAAACGATCCGTGAGAATGGGATTATCGACAATCCGAACGGCCCTCCTCTGTATGGAGTCAAATGGAAGAAGCTGATATTTGGGAGGTCCGGCCCAGAGATGGGAGCAGTACTCCACGCGAGGCCGGACTTGTGCTTTATAAAGCAAAAGCCTTTGATCCTAATAAATTGTTATCCTAATAAATTTTGTTCCTTTTCAAAAAAACTGCTATTTATTTTGAGCAAATCCCACACGTATGTAACGAAGGCGGCGAGCACAGATATCAATTAAGATCATACATTTCTTCATATGTTTATTATTTCCGTGACCTAATAAATAAAGATTTTAGTGTATTATGAGACTAGCTATTATGCGCGATTATTTCAATTAATAAGCATAAGTAGATCAAGTAGATAAACTTCGTAAAGATAAATTGCGATGTTATTGTTTATTGCTAGCGCTCGGTCCGTGACCAACTTTACGGCTCGGATGGAGGGCAGTGGAAGCCAACAGACATCACAACGCCTTTATCTCATATAATAAGATGATGATGTCATAATTATAATCACTCATACTATCTCATTTGATTTAATGTTATTCCAATTGATTATACAGTCTCAATATAAATCAACTTCATCTTATGTCGCTCCATATCGAGGAGTGTAAGACTATTTGGTTTAAACGACATTTTTGCACTTTTACAGGAGAGCCATTTAAAGTTTAAAATTTGGCAAAATATCTTAACAAAAAAACTTCTTCAGCTGTTTGAATGGAGTAAACTGAATTGAAGTTCAATTATAAACATCGAACTGTTGATACTAATACCAAATAAAAGGCACTTTTAATTACAAAGATAACTGTCGCGTATTAAGCGAAATATCGCTTAAACCAAATAGCCTTTCACCTCTCGTTATCATTTTTCATATAACAAAATATATTCGTATTTTATAATTAAACATTTTTATAAGTATGACAAATTTTTCAAAGAATGAGAAGAAGTCAAAGACCCGTATACTAACCGGCCCTGTTTTTCACTGGGATCAAAGCAGGACGCCTTCTCCATGGCGGCCACGGACAGCATGTGGTTAATGAGCGTCCGGGCGGGCGGGGGGCTGAGCGTGGAGGGCGGCACCCCGTTGTAGTCCCCGCGCGCCGCGCAGCCCGGCCCGCAGCCCCCCTGCTCGGGGGGACACCTGCGAAACGAACCTCAACTTCAAGTACCGAAGCGTAAAATGAATATTCGTTGCTCAGCTCTATTTCTATAGTCGACGCATTATGAACTGAGGCTTCGGGTCATAAATCATATTGATCTGTCTATCTCGCTCGCACTTACAGGTCTTATGGTGAGGTGTATAGTAGAATTATTTTGTCCGTGCAGTTTGGGTCAAAATCGAAGCGGTGAAGTGAGTATTTCGCTCTCTCTTCCACTCACAAGCCTTATGGACGGTCATAGTTATGCGCATTATTGTTGTCGATAAGCGTTATCGGTAGTGTATTTAGTTTTGTCATTTTGTGGGTTAGTGATAAAAATGAAAGAAAAAATCACTAATCGAACACTTACACCATATATCGCCGCAACAAGTTAACGAGAACGGCAGAAATTAACACTTTGTAACTTTTCGGGATCTATTCTTATTTTAGTGAGAAATTTTAACACATTGTTGATAACAACACGTGCAAATATTATTTTGAATAGATTCTGCCGTTTTGATACAAAACAAAGGAGTAGCCATTGTGTCACTAAAGAAATTCAGACAACGAATGCATAAAAACACATTTCTCTTCGACATAATGTACTATAATTTGCAGGTAAGTACAAATAACTCATAACATAACAATGTATCACCACCCTTCGTATACCACCCCGTCGCCGTGTACCTGCCTTCGATGACTCATATGTTTTTATCGACAATGGCGTTGCGCTCGAGCAACATGCTCACCGCCCTAGCCGAACTATGTTTTATGACCCAAACTGCACGGACAAAATAATTCTACTATAGTGATGTGCGTAAGAATTGTAGTGGTGCATATCGATAACGGATTAGATACGATCGATATGCTCAATTATGTTAAGTATTATCGGAATAATTTTTCGCTATCTGAAAATAAATTTAATTTTTAAGATAAAATTTTATCAATCATAGAGAAACTGTATAGATCGTAGCTAAGTATCGATAGCGGGTTGCATTACGTTCCTACTGTCAGTAACCGACGACTCAGTTTAAATTGCGTCGACTATAGATGTAAGACGTAGCGTCGGATATTCATTTATTAAATTAAGTTCTAATATCGGTTTTGCCGCGTATCGAATTGTATCTATATATCGGTACTCGATATCGGATATTGAATCTATATATTTATGTATATAGACTTTTGTAACAGGTGGGTCGTAAACTCGTCTACCCATTTAAGCACTAAAAAGGGGACCAAAAACCGAACTGGATGAAAATACTAACTAAAAGTGAAAAATAATCACTAGAGGTGTATCTAACTACACGTGTCAAAAGTTTATGTCATATAAGAAAAATACATCATTAAGTAATGATCTAAGGTTAACTTTTTCATAATCATTATCAGCCCACAGTCGACTACTGCTGGACATAGACCTCTCCCAATCCACACCACTGAGCCCGGCCTTCGGTTCTCCTCATACACTTCTTGCCGGCCACCGTTCGGAGATCATCGCACCAGCTAGCCAGGGGGCGTCCCTTAGGTTAACTTTTTAGTGACAACTAAATAAAAAGTTTTGGAACTTGAATGATTCTATTCCACGTTCTTCGTTCTTCTGTTTCGTTAGTTGTATTTAATGGTTTGAACTGTGCTCGTGCTATTTAAGGTTGTCTTCATAAACAAATTATTTAAAAAAAAATCTTTTGACAACCCTGTATTTGATTTTGTAACATATCTAAAAATGACGGTTGCATTACTGTATTCATATTGACAGTTGGGTATAACGGCTCAGGGCTTCCACAAGGCAACACATATTCCAATAATAAACACACAAACTTTACCTTTTAGCTCCGACGGAATGCAGAACATAGAGAATCTTGTCAGAGTTATTGGAGGCGTCTGCGAGCACGGCGTGCCTGGGCGTGTGGCCGGCGTTGTTCCTCGCGTTCAGGTCAGCACCGAAGACCACCAGCGCTTGAGTGATCACGTACGATTGTTTGACCGCCGAATGAAGCGGCGTGTTTCCCTCGTTGTCGGCCACAGATATCTCCGCGCCCCTGGACAGCAGCGCGATCGCACACTCGAGCCGGCCGCGCAGCACCATCACGTGCAGGGCGGTCCGGCCGTCGAAGTTCAAGGCGTTGATGTCGCAGTTCTTGTCGACCAGCGCGTCGATGACCTCCCTGGAGACGGCCCAGTGCAGCGGGGTCCCGCCGTGCTTCATGTCCTGCTGGTACAGCTTGGGCTGGTTGTCTTGAAGCAGATCACCCACGATACCTTGGACACGAAACCGATTTAATAATTAAACTATTTTATCTAGAACGATGCCAAATGTTGTGGTAGGACCTCTTGTGAGTCCGCGTAGATAGGTACCACCACCCCGCCTATTTCTGCCGTGAAGCAGTAATGCGTTTTGGATTGAAGGGTGGGGCAGCCGTTGTTACTATACTTGAGACCATAGAACTTATATCTTAAGGTGGGTGGCGCATTTACGTTGTGGATGTCTATGGGCTCCAGTAACCACTTAACACCAGGTGGGCTATGAGGTAGTCCACCCATCTAAGCAATTAAAAAAAAAATACCTTACCTCATCTCGAACTACTTACTGACTTGCCTCGATCCGTATTGGCTAATATATTAATCTAGTTTTCTCTATTATAGTTCATCTCATGATCCATTTGGTTTTAAGTAGTTGTCCATGGACATCACAATATCAACGCCACCGCCCACCTCGAATCATGTATATCTCATTTGTATTGCATAGCTGCCTTCAAGCCAAACCGCATGCCAACTTCGCGTTAGAAATAGACAAGATGGTGGTATATACTTGTGCGAGCTTACAACCAGCCCTATCCCCAGTTAAGTTATTAATCCTGCCCCATTTTTCGTGTTGAATACACTGCCTTACTTATTATATACCTGTTCCTAAGCAATCGTATAATCCAGTAGTTTCATTATAGAAACATCGAGAATTCGGCTGCAGAACTGTTTAAGATAAAAAAGACCAGTCTATACATACCCTAAGGCTGATAGTAGGTCTTGTCGACGAGAAAAATTGATAGAATCATTCATCAGCGTGCCTATACTTGAAGCAATGTCCGTCGATGGTCACAAATGAAGATCTCGGAATGAGGTACATACCAGGCAAGGTGCTTGTGGAACGTTTGGCGGCGGAGAGGTTGACATCGGCGCCGGCCAGCATGAGGGCGCGCACGCAGTCGGGCGCGTCCGCGAGGCAAGCCATGTGCAGTGGCGTGTAGCCTTGGTGGTTGTACACGTTCAGAGGCGCCGACGTTTTACTGGCCAGGATCTGTGCGACGCGCATTTTTTTTATTTATTGCTTAGATGGGTGGCCGAGTTCACAGCTAACCTGGTGTAAAGTGGATACTGGAGCCCATAGACATCTAAAACGTAAATGCGCCTCCAACCTTGAGATATAAGTTCTAAGGTCTCAGTTCAGATTATTTTTTATATTTTTTTTATTATTTATTGTAACGTTATTTAAAATTTTATATTGAGATATTGGATCAAAATTAATAAAACTCATTCTAATATTAAGGGCGGCGCAATAAACAGAGCCTAGGACGGCATCAAGCCCATATCCGTAACTACATGGTATTGAAATCACTGCACCGAATGGCCTCTCCAACGCCATCTAGTACGGAGCAGACGAACAACGATTGAGACATTAGTAGAGCTCCGATCTTCTCGCATAAACGTTCGAAAAGGTTCGACTAGACTGTATAATAAATCATAGAGTAGGGCGTGTCTGCTGACATAGTCTCACATACCCCGCGTGCACCGCGGAAATATCGTAGGATCCGCTGACCGAAAAAAATATGTCTTAACGGTCAATTTATTCGAATTATGAATCATATTCCATTACATCACTATGAAGTTTCGAAATTAATTCGAACAATTGTTAACAGCCGGTATGTATTCTATTTTTATACCTACACGTGTAAAACAACACAGAATAGTTCACTGGCACTTCATCGTGATACAAAAACAACTTTCCAGAAATGAGCAGGACGACCAAAAGCCTTAAAAAATTCCCTAACGACTATACAAATTAAATGAACGGTAATTGGTTAATTAAATACACCTTCAATGCTTACATTAATTATCTCCTTGTTGCTAGCTGCCGCGTAATGAAAGACTGTGTTCCCATCAACATCAATCGTGTCCAGAGAGCAATTATGCGACACCAAACATTGTACGACTCGCAAGCACGATGTCTTCAGGGCCACCTGTGACGTACAATTTGATGATTATCCGAGTTTAAGGAGTATACAAAAGATTAAAAATACTTCTATAGTGGGTTCTCCTACTAATGTAAAGAGTATTTCCACTTTGAACGGTGTTTTTTTTATTTATTTTATTTATTACATATATGGGTGGACGAGCTCACAGCCCACCTAGTGTTAAGTGGTTACTGGAGCCCATAGACATCCACAACGTAAATGCGCCACCTACCTTGAGATATCAGTTCTAAAGTCTCAAGTATAGTTACAACGGCTGCCCCACCCTTCAAACCGAAACGCATTACTGCTTCACGGCAGAAATAAGCGGGGTGGTGGTACCTACCCGCGCGGACTCACAAGAGTTCCTACCACCAGTAAAAAGTTCTTGTACCACATGTCTACCGCTTCTTTTCTTGTCCTGAACCTCCCCTTACAATATGACAAACAGGAGCTTAAATTATTGTAGCGCATAAAATTTACATATTTTTTAAATGTTTATTTAGCTACGGGCCGGGGCTTGGCTGTGACCCCCGGGCATTCCAGACGACCAACTTACCATCGGACAGACAGGACGCTTGTTTGCCTTTGAAATCAATAAAAAAAGCATTTAACATTATATTTTGCGTGAAACCACGTGTATATCAAGACTAATATGATTAATAAAGCAATATAAAAACACACGAACCATTTAAAACATTTCGTTCAATGTGAATAGGTCGTTTGGCTCACCATCAAAGGCGTGGCTCCCGTGATTGGATCGATTTCATTAATGTGTTTCTTTACCGCCGCATGAGTCAAGTGTTCATACAGGCCAAAGTGCGCTATCAAATGCGCTATTGTCCACGACTGATGCTCCGACAAAATATCGCATAATTTTTGTAGGGTTGAAACGGTACACTGTAAATACACGACCCATATTAAACATTTTGTTTCTTACAAAACTTCATATCTGTGTCGTCGACCTAGTCGCGACAGCTTGACATAAACACTGCTGGTGCACGCTTTGAGAGCCACTGGGAAAACAACTCTGGACACGCATTTTTAAAGGCACATTAAAATAATACTTTATTAACTGATATACATTAAAATAAATACTTTTTGCCTTAAAGGCGTGCTACGTCGATAAATTACCTTGACTCCTAAAGTAAGTAGCTCTGTATCTCGGAGATAATTTCAGGACATAAATTCAATCACACTTTGGCACATTGAAATAAATGTATACATAAAAGGAGCATGATTGTCATTGACATCACAAAGTGACTGTTCTGAATAGTATTGTATAACAACTATTCGGCCATCAAATTGAAACACATGAGTACTTCGTGGCAAAATCAATAATCAAGGCTTACAGTACGCCTCACTTAACTGATAGGCTGTGATGGTAATACGCTGGTATAACGCTCGGAAAATGATAGTGAAGTACTATTCTGGCATGACATCACACAGCCAAATTCATATAAAATGCCAATTGAATTGAGTTTAAAATTTCTCGTAAAACAATAACTGCTTCACACCTCAAGAAAATTCCGTATTCTTTTTATTTCATTAGTAGTAGCTTTACTTCAATAATAACAGTAAATTAATTCTAAGTTCATAATTGTTAAACTTTCAAGAATCTACATGAATATAATAGCATGACTTATTAAATTCTATATAAATGAGTAACCATTGATTGATGCTAGTACACCTACCAATTAAACAGCTGGATTTAAAATTTTCCAGAACCTCATAATGAAATTATTCCATTTGAACGAGCAGATGCTGAGTCATTGTGAACATCATTCGCTCTGAACAAAAAATCTTTTGGATTTTACAGCTTATTAACAATTTTGGATACCATATATGGATAACAATACGTTTATGACCAAAAAATAAATACGAAGCCAAAAATTCAACAGCATAGGAAGGCTATGTTGTCTAAATCTGAACAAATATGGGTACTCTAAAGATAAATTACGATATAGATATTTTTAGGTGATTTTGTGAAAACACCGAAGCACTATGAGCTACAAATGAATCCATAAGGGCATCAGATATTTTGCCTTTACCTATAGGTATAAGTCGAATTTAATGTTAGGAGCTTCCGCATCTTGAAGATGGAAAAGTCATGATTTTATTTAACTAGTTATTTTAATAGTGTTAATAGTGTTTAAGTACAAATAATTGAATAAATTGTATAATTATGTGGTGTGTGATTCATATGACAGTGTTNTGAGCTACAAATGAATCCATAAGGGCATCAGATATTTTGCCTTTACCTATAGGTATAAGTCGAATTTAATGTTAGGAGCTTCCGCATCTTGAAGATGGAAAAGTCATGATTTTATTTAACTAGTTATTTTAATAGTGTTAATAGTGTTTAAGTACAAATAATTGAATAAATTGTATAATTATGTGGTGTGTGATTCATATGACAGTGTTGCCCTAAAGGCGTCAAACAATTCAATTTATAATAATAAGAAAATATTCTTACATCTTTGGTAATTTGTATAAAAATGGGTATTCTTTCTTTGAACACTATGAACTTTTCTTCTGCACTCTCAAGAGTTTCCGACCGAAGTAAACTGAAATCAAAAACAGTTTTAAAGACAAATTTTTATTATCCTCCATTTCATCACCAGCTAAAAGTTTTATACTACTCAAGTTTACTGTAATAAACATGCTTGATTTCCTTCAACCCTTCTAAACATACCAGCTTTCACTGTGTCAGCCCACCATATAGAAAAGTGAGGCGTAAAATATACACCAGTATTTTACTATTGCATATTTGCTACATAAGAATGCTATGGACCCAGTCGAAATCTATATTATGAGCAAAAACCCATTGAATTTTTTTACCATTTTTTATAAAAAAAAATACATTAATTTTAGCCTAGAGGGACTATTCCAGCGGTACATTTCATGATCATTCATCTAAATGATTGTTAACGAATCAACGTCGCGTCATACATTGATGGCTGTGATTGGCCAACGATGACGTCATATCGCACGAACCAATCACAAAACAGGAAAGGCAATAGTGGCAGCAATTGTCAAAATTAAAAAAAAAATTATAGCACGAAGAAAAAAAAAAGATGGACGCGCATGTCAATTTTGTAATTTTGTAAAATAATTCAAAATAATATAATGAGTATTTCAAGAAGTAACGCATTTATTCATTTTCTTGACCACCTCAAGATACATCTAAGAAATAGACGCAACATTTCTATTGGTCCTTCGAGCCGGATCATCAATTGAGTTGAACCAGACGCTTACTTGAGAGACGCATCGGCCATCGAAAAGGAAAATTCGGAAAATCTCATCAGATTCGCAGGATTACAGTGCTTTGGCAAGGCGTGCTAACGAAAATATGCTAAACCTTTCCCCTTCGCGTATATAGTACTGTGCTTTTTTTAAACCTTTTTTGCTTTGCATTTTTGCGAACGTACGTACTTTCGCTAATATTGAGCAGCTGTTTTGTTTTATTATTTAAAAACTGTAAGTACACCCCCATTTACTTGTTTCCACAATGGCTACATCAGATCATAAGTTAGAATTACTATATAGATCTTAAAAGAAAACGCGCATCTATTAATTGTCGTTTGACTAACTTTGGAAAATATGTGAATTCATTCGAAAGTGTAGAATTAACTGTTCATCAACGTACCGAGCTAAAACTGCGGATGGCAGGATCGCAAAGTTTAATGAATGATTTTAACCTCGTTCAGACTCAAATAGAAGACATTAGTGTAGAAATTGATATAGAAAAACAGTTAGAATCGCGTGAAAATTTCGAGCAAAAATATTATAATATTCTTGCCCTTGCTGAATGTGACCACCGTTGATGAAAATTCAAAAGGTATGATGTCTGAACCACCGATTACAAGTTCCCAAAACATTAAATTACCCACTATATCTGTCCCCACCTTTGACGGCTTATATGAGCATTGGTTAGAGTTCCGCGATACATTTTTGTCATTGATACATAATAGTGAAACAATTACAGAAATTCAAAAATTTCATTATNATTTATAATAATAAGAAAATATTCTTACATCTTTGGTAATTTGTATAAAAATGGGTATTCTTTCTTTGAACACTATGAACTTTTCTTCTGCACTCTCAAGAGTTTCCGACCGAAGTAAACTGAAATCAAAAACAGTTTTAAAGACAAATTTTTATTATCCTCCATTTCATCACCAGCTAAAAGTTTTATACTACTCAAGTTTACTGTAATAAACATGCTTGATTTCCTTCAACCCTTCTAAACATACCAGCTTTCACTGTGTCAGCCCACCATATAGAAAAGTGAGGCGTAAAATATACACCAGTATTTTACTATTGCATATTTGCTACATAAGAATGCTATGGACCCAGTCGAAATCTATATTATGAGCAAAAACCCATTGAATTTTTTTACCATTTTTTATAAAAAAAAATACATTAATTTTAGCCTAGAGGGACTATTCCAGCGGTACATTTCATGATCATTCATCTAAATGATTGTTAACGAATCAACGTCGCGTCATACATTGATGGCTGTGATTGGCCAACGATGACGTCATATCGCACGAACCAATCACAAAACAGGAAAGGCAATAGTGGCAGCAATTGTCAAAATTAAAAAAAAAATTATAGCACGAAGAAAAAAAAAAGATGGACGCGCATGTCAATTTTGTAATTTTGTAAAATAATTCAAAATAATATAATGAGTATTTCAAGAAGTAACGCATTTATTCATTTTCTTGACCACCTCAAGATACATCTAAGAAATAGACGCAACATTTCTATTGGTCCTTCGAGCCGGATCATCAATTGAGTTGAACCAGACGCTTACTTGAGAGACGCATCGGCCATCGAAAAGGAAAATTCGGAAAATCTCATCAGATTCGCAGGATTACAGTGCTTTGGCAAGGCGTGCTAACGAAAATATGCTAAACCTTTCCCCTTCGCGTATATAGTACTGTGCTTTTTTTAAACCTTTTTTGCTTTGCATTTTTGCGAACGTACGTACTTTCGCTAATATTGAGCAGCTGTTTTGTTTTATTATTTAAAAACTGTAAGTACACCCCCATTTACTTGTTTCCACAATGGCTACATCAGATCATAAGTTAGAATTATTATATAGATCTTAAAAGAAAACGCGCATCTATTAATTGTCGTTTGACTAACTTTGGAAAATATGTGAATTCATTCGAAAGTGTAGAATTAACTGTTCATCGACGTACCGAGCTAAAACTGCGGATGGCAGGATCGCAAAGTTTAATGAATGATTTTAACCTCGTTCAGACTCAAATAGAAGACATTAGTGTAGAAATTGATATAGAAAAACAGTTAGAATCGCGTGAAAATTTCGAGCAAAAATATTATAATATTCTTGCCCTTGCTGAATGTGACCACCGTTGATGAAAATTCAAAAGGTATGATGTCTGAACCACCGATTACAAGTTCCCAAAACATTAAATTACCCACTATATCTGTCCCCACCTTTGACGGCTTATATGAGCATTGGTTAGAGTTCCGCGATACATTTTTGTCATTGATACATAATAGTGAAACAATTACAGAAATTCAAAAATTTCATTATTTAAAATCGTCTTTGTCCGGTAACGCTAAATCGGTCATAGATTCCATAGAATTCTCTGCTAATAATTATAAAGTTGCTTGGGAACTATTGTTAAATCGATTTGATAATACGAAACTATTAGTACATAACCATGTCAAATCCATGTTTACCATGCAATCGTTGACTAAAGAATCACCAGTGCAATTACGCAAATTAATTGATAATATTTTAAAAAACCTCCGCGCTTTAAAGCTTTTAGGGGAACCTACAGAGTATTGGGATACGTTAATCATTTACACCATTGTCACAAAATTAGATTCCATTACCGAACGGGAATGGGAACAGCAAAAGTGTAGTTTAATTACATCAACCAATAACACCAAAACTGTAGTTCAGCTAAATGACTTACTTCAGTTTCTCAGGAATAGGGCGGATATTTTGGAAACACTTATAGTATCACATAGTAAAGCAGGCGTATATAGCGCGACAGACAATAATAAAAAGCAATTCAGTAACCAGTTAACATCCAAATTTCATTGCAATATAGTTTCAAATAAACCAAATAATAATAAATCACAAGGAAAGAATGCACGTAATTACAGACCCTGCATAATGTGTAATGATTTACATCCGCTATATTCATGTCAAAAGTTTTTGGACCTTAGTGTACAAAATAGATTAAAATTTATCCAAACTAAGCAGTTGTGCCCTAATTGCATGCATTGTGAACAATCAGCTGTCCCGTCTAATACGAAAGATAACTCGAACTCACACTCTTTTCAGGCGCAATCTACTGACACAATTGATAACATGCATCCAGCGCAATCAGTTTTGCTGTCCACAGCTATTGTAGAAATACGTAGCCAGTCGGGTGTTTACCATCAAGCGCGCGCTCTACTCGATAGTGGCAGCGAACGTTCATTCATCACACAAACACTTTGTGACAAATTAAATCCACCAATATTACAGTCCACTCAAAAAATCCACGGCGTAGGGAATACAATAACACAGTGTTCGCAGTCCTGTGATATTGAGATCCAATCACGCACTGGTAGTTATACTGCACGCATTCAGTGTTTGATTCTACCACAAATAACATCAAACTTACCTATGAAGACATATAACGTTAATTTGTTTACCATACCGGATAACATTGTACTTGCAGATCCGACGTTTTATGATAGTCAGCCGATGGATTTATTAATAGGCGCGGGTTTGTTTTGGGAATTAGTTAGAGAAGGTAAAATACGACTTAAAATGGCCCCTATCTCCAAAATAAGCATCTTGGTTGGATAATATCGGGCTCATTTCAATCTATTACACGCAAACAAAGACATGTTAGCTGCAATTTTACGCAAACCGTTGACAGTGACACGTGCTCATTAGATCAATTATTACGCAATTTTTGGGAAATTGAAGAATTACCAATTAATTCTCCTAAATTAAGTGACGAGGAGCGCGCCTGTGAGGAGCACTTTATTAAAACAACCTCACGGACGGCCGACGGGCGGCTTAAGGTTCGATTTCCGTTTAAGCACTCTCCGAAGTTACTGACAGGACCGAAGGTGACACGCGCACACAAGCTGAACGTCGTTTTTATGCTTTAGAAAAAAGGCTGCAACGCAATCCTACTTACAAACAAATGTAGATCGACTTTATACACGAATACATTAACTTAGGCCACATGAGTCTTGTATATATGTAGTTATCAAACACCACATTACTTTTTACCTCATCACGGTGTGTTTCGAGAACATTTCACTACTACCAGTTGCGTGTAGTCTTCGAGTAGTAGCTAGTATGGCTTCCACTTCGGGGCTATCATTAAACGACCTGCAGATGATCGGTTCAGCTATACAAGGCGACTTAATCGCGATTTTACTTAGATTTCGAGAAAACAGGTATATGGCTTGCGCAGACATAGAGAAAATTTACCGTCAAGTACTTATAGAAGATGATGAAAGAGATTATCAGCTGATCCTGTGGCGAGACGATCCTTCCAAACCACTCATGGTATATCAATTAAATACTGTTACCTATGGTACCGCTTCGGCACCGTTTTTAAGCTGTAGACTGTAGATGTTTAAAACAATTAGCGCAAGAGTATGAGGCTCCGTATGTGAAAGAAACTATTAATGATAATTTTTACGTGAACGACTTAATTTGCAGTGCAAATAGTATTTGAAGATTAAATCAAATTTGCGAAGGAACTGATAAGGTTTTAAAATCGGCTTGTTTAATTTTACGTAAATGGATTTTTAACTTTGACTGCGCTGATAATGACGATGCTCAAAATGTTACAAAAAAACTCGATCTAGCAGGAGATAACGTGTTCAAAACAAAACTTTAGGTATTGGATGGGCTGGAGTCATGGTCCAGACGGCTGGCCGATCCTTCGGCTGGTCGTAGGACCGTCGAGGCGATTCGCCCGGTTCTTGTGAACTGGGTGAATCGTGACAGAGGACGCCTCACTTTCCGGCTCACGCAGGTGCTCACTGGGCATGGTTGCTTCGGTAAGTTCCTGCACCGGATCGGAGCCGAGCCGACGGCAGAGTGCCACCATTGTGGTTGCGACTTGGACACGGCGGAGCACACGCTCGTCGCCTGCCCCGCATGGGAGGGGTGGCGCCGTGTCCTCGTCGCAAAAATAGGAAACGACTTGTCGTTGCCGAGTGTTGTGGCATCGATGCTCGGTGACGACGAGTCGTGGAAGGCGATGCTCGACTTCTGCGAGTGCACCATCTCGCAGAAGGAGGCGGCGGGGCGCGTGAGAGACGCACAGGCCCGCCGCCGTCGAGCGGGGGCCAGGGAGGCGGATCTCGCCCAAGCCCTGGCCCTCTAAGTGTTTCGGGTCTCCCTCACATGTCGGCCTGGGGACCGGCGAAGGGGGCCTAAGAAGACGACGTGCAAGCTGCTCTGCACGCGTTTTATGCATGAGCATCCGGGTGATGGAAGGCCGGCTATCCTCAACCCACGCTGGTTCTGACCCAGCGGGGTATTCCGTAGGATAGACCATTCTAACCGGCGCCATCTAGGCGGGCTTCGGATAGCCTGCCGACCGAGAGGGCTGGTGGTCGTGGCGCCGACGACCGCCAGTCCGGCGTCCCGAGGGGGTGGGTGATGGGAGAGATGTGCTCCGCACTAAACGCTTCACTTTCCCCCCTTTGCCTTTTCATGAGTTTTGTCTCATGCGAGGTTTGGACGTTGGTTGTTGAGAGACAGGAGGTTTTAGTCGGTTCGACTCCGACATGCCCCGCCCTCCATCCCCAGTGAAGGGCGGAAGTCCGGCGATTTCCTCCAGACAAAAAAAAAAAAATGTATTGGATGGAATAACAAGTTAGGTGAATAAAGTTTTTACACGCAAATTAAGTATGATGCCAAAATTATCACGAAACGCATTATTTTATCTCAAATTTATGACCCCTTAGGTTTAATTAGTCCAGTTATTACTATCGCTAAGATATTATTACAAAAATGTTGGCTGTTGAAGCTTAATTGGGATGAACCGGTTCCTTGGAATCGATTTGTTTCTTGCCTATCATTACAAATTAACATACGCATATCGCGCTATGCTATGTGCATTGATCCCATAATGGGGAATCTGCCTCGAGAACGGCTGCAGCCAGGTTTTCCCTTCTTACGCTGTGGAGTGGATTATGCAGGACCAGTATTCACTTTAAATCGTAGGGGTAGGGGAGCAAGATTACAAAAATCGTATATATGTTTATTTATATGTTTTGCTTCACGCGCCGTACATCTCGAGCTTGTGACCGACCTTTCATCAGATGCTTATTTGCTGGCACTGAAGGAGGTTCATTTCACGTCGAGGAAAACCTATTGAAATATACTCCGATAACGGGCGCAACTTTGTAGGCGCAATGAATGAATTCGCAAAGTTTTTAAATTGTTGTTCAGATGACATTAAGGCATACGCGATTTCTCAAAATATAAATTTTAGATTGATAACGTGTTATGCTAGTCATTTTGGGGGCTTGTGGGAGGCTGGTGTTAGAAGCTATAAGTATCATTTGCGGCATGTGGTTGGCAACGCACACCTTACATTGAAGAAATGAGCACAGTACTATGGCAGGTTGAAGCTGTCCTCAACTCCCGACCTTTAAACCCTATGTCCTCAGATCCATAGGATTTTCTTCCACTTGCCCCAGCTCATTTTTTGGTTGGCCGTCCGCTAACTGCACCTGTACCTGATGACCTTCACGGTGTTCCGGCTAGTCGACTTACCAGATACCAGAGAATTGAACAGAACTGCCAGCACTTCTGGAGCCGCTGGGCTAAAGAATACGTGTCAGAGATGCAAACCAGTAGCAAATGGTACCAACATAAGGGTGAGCTCAAGGAAACTATGTTGGTTCTTATAAAAGATGACAACTTACCGCCATTGAAATGGAGCTTGGGACGAATTCAAAACATATCCAGGCAAAGACAGCTTGTCACATGTGGCTGATATTCGCAAAGCGGATGGGATTGTGAGACGGGCATTCTCCAAAATCTGTCCGCTTCCTTTACATGAAGAATGATTACGCACAATAGTAGTTGCTGGGTCTCTGAATGATCATCTCCAATTGTTGGAACCTGGTGCTTCCAAGGCCGGGAGCATGTTAACGAATCAAGGTCGTGTCATACATTGATGGCTGTGATTGGCCAACGATGACGTCATATCTCACGAACCAATCACAAAACAGGAAACGCAATAGTGACACCAATTGTCAAAATTTAAAAAAATTATAACACGAAGAAAAAAGGCAGACGCGCATTTCAATTCTATATTTTTAAAATAATTAAAAATAATATAATGAGTATTTGAAGAAGTAAACGTATTTTTTCATTTTCTTGGCCACCTCAAGATACATCTAAGAAATAGATGCAACAATGATATTAATTTTAATATAAAAAAATTCAGATTTTAAGTGCAGATTTATCTTTGAAATGATAACAATAAATGAAACTTAACTATTTAGGAAAACTAAGTAAGTATTTTGACATTGGAAGAGGTAGGGGGAGTAAGCATCATCTTACTTATTGGATACCCACTAATTAACTGACAATCACTTGATTGACTGTAATTAATATAGAAGACTTACATTTTGATTTGAGTTTTAAATTGTAAATTGGAATTACATCTTATAAATCAGGACAAGTTTACTTTTTTTACTGCTTAATATAATTTTTTTATAATAAATATGAGCTGCACAAATTTTGAGAAAATACGAAGTTAAGATGGTTGAAAGAACACTGTGCAATTCTGTTATCTATCAATACATAAAGAATTAATCTTAGAAATGTATCTGAATATTTTTGAGCGAATTGTAATTACATTATGTAATGAAATTAGGTTTTTGTAAAGAAATATTTTAAATCACCAAAATCGCAGGAAGGTTAAATGGTGCGATTTTTCCTTAAGGTACTTATGAACACTTAAGCAACAACAAGCTTTTTTACACAATAAGAATTCAATAAAATAGCAACTAAAAATTAATAATCGCGTTTATGAACTGACCTGTACATTTGATGTAAATTCTCTGTAAACGGTTTGTATAGAACGATTTCGTAATATTTATCTTTAGGATTTTTACCGTCATTCGGTATTTTCGGACCATACAATAACATACTATCTTCCCTGTAGTGAACTGGTCGTGAGATGTAGTTGTCTGATCGCACGTCGAGGACTTTGGTCGGCAGCTCTTCGGTACGAAGAAGACCACGAAAAACTAATAAAATATTATTAATATTTCATTATAATTGTTAGGTATTTGAAACAAAAAAATAATAATAAATTTTATAATACTCACATGAATTCAGCATTGTGATCTGTTTTATTCAAATTGTGTACCGCAGGTCAGCTTTTCATTAAATTAGTTTAAGAATTGTTATTGAAAAAATGATGTAAACACGGACTTACGACAAACCACGACAGACAGACAGATCGGTGATGTGTGACATTTAGTGACATTTACGTTATATAAACTAATTTTTTTTAAGGGATTTTATGACCTGGTAACTAAGACCTTTAAGTCAGGTCTTATTTTAATTTATATTCATATTTTTATGAAAAATGATATTATGGATTGAAATGAAATGAAGATGATTAATTTGAGACATTAATCAACTGGGATGAAATTAAATGAAATGAATTGAGATGATATAGGATGAAATATAATCTCAGTAAAATGATGGTCATTTACTAAGATTTTTTCAGTGAACTTTTGGAGGATCCCGAGAAGTTACGTCCAGTGGCTTTGTTTTATTTTCCCACATTTGTGCACTTTCACAGATATTAAACAGTTCATAAACCACCATTATTACACATTTAAACCTGAAGAAACACTAAATAGACAAAATAAAACAAATCACACAACTTCACTCCTCGCGTTCCCGCCAAAAAGTCCTTTACGTTATACTACTCTGTGATCTGTCAAAGATTAATTTGTTTAGATATAGGTATGGTACATACGGCTCAGTGAATTTGGCCCCCCTTTTTTTCTATTTTCTGATTTTTTTAATTTTTAATTATTTGTTCGTTAATGTTAGAAATTGTAAAAATTGTTTGTTCGTCTTTTATTTATTTATAACTAATTAAGCAAATTATCACCCGTAAGTTGCCCCTCCTTACTAGATATCTTTATTTTTATCGCTGAGAATAATTCATTTTTATCAATTATCGTTTGTTCGACGACTATTGGTGATTGTTCGGTCATAAAAACAATTAAATTCCCAATTATTAATTATGTATTTTATATCTAGCAAACTATCACCTTTTTTTTTGCTTTGTCCATTGGGAGGGTTATGCCAGTAGTCACCACGCTTGGCAGGCGGGTTGGTGACCGCAGTACTATGTCCTTTCTTCAGGGCATGCTGCTGCCCATGTCCTGATGTGTTTTTATTTAGACAGCTGGTTATGGATGGTTATACCGCCATCGGTTGGTCGCCAGGGCCCCGTCTGTTAGCTAGCAGGATGCACCACGGGCAGGTGAGGTTGGCTTTTGAGTAGCTGTGATTTCATTGCCACCCCTTACATCCCAATGCTTAAAGACAAAAGTTTTTAACGCTTGTGTGCTGCCGGTCATGACATATGGCGCTTAAACGTAGACATTAACCGTAGGTTTGGTCCGTAAGCTCAAAGTCGCTCAGCGTGCTATGGAAAGGTGTATGCTCGGAGTTTCTTTGATGGATCGAGTCAGAAATGATGAAATTCGTCAAAGAACCAAAGTAACCGACATAGTCCTAAAGGTTAGCAAGCTGAAGTGGCAATGGGCCGGACATACGTGTCGCAGAACCGATGGCCGATGGAGCAAACGTGTTCTGGACTGGAGACCGCGTACCGGTAAACGCAGCGTTGGGCGTCCCCCTGCCCGTTGGACCGATGACTTGCGGCGATATGCTGGGAGAGATTGGATGCGGAAGGCTGATGATCGTTCATTGTGGCGGACTATGGGAGAGGCCTACATCCAGCAGTGGAGAGATACAGGCTGATGATGAAACTATCACCTCACGCCTACATTGCGCATGCACTGGTTTTGTCAGTCAGCTGGCAGTGGCCATATTTACTAGCGTTTTGTTTACAAGTGCGTTTATACGGTCTAATTATTTCTTATGTAGATCAAAAAAATATTGAAAACTTCTACAAACTTCAACAATACTTCAACAAAAAAATGTCAGTGAATTGAATGAAACGGCCAATTAGTGTATTTTCAATCAGGTCATACATATTGTTACGCTCTGGGGTCCGGGATAAATAAATGTTCTACCAAAGTACAACTTAAAACTGTATTTATCACTTAGAACACTCACAGAACTCAGAACACTTTAAAATTCTCAATTCACTTTTTCAGCTTCACTTCAGGTGATCCGTTCGCTGTTTCGCTTCGAGTAGTTCCGATTACTAACTGACTGCATGCCATCTCTGCAGCGCTTTTATAGTCGATACGACATCCCTAGAATCGTCGAGGACATTCCTCACAAGTCGAGCACTTTCGATGGGTGCTTCCGCTATCTGACAATGGATGACGCTGTACTTCTCGAGCGTTCTAGTAACATCTTTACTAGATCCTTTGGTATTCGTTTCGGCTATTCGGCGATAGATGGCGTTACTCTTACCGGCGAAACAATATTATTATGAACATTTTGCGACTGGTGTGATGACATAAAATTTCAGTGTCGTGAATCTTGAGCCAAAATATGTAAAATATAGAATATAATAACAATAACGAAAGACAAAAATATTGTCAATTTGTAATATTAGAATTACATTAATTCTTTTTGACCTCATTGAGACTTTAAATAACGGCTTTTGGGTGATTGAAATTAAAAAAATTATATAATTTTGTTGCATACAACTTTATCTCATAGCAAACAGGGATAAGACAAACGCGGATTAAAATATGACAGATCCAAGTTTCTACTAGCAAATATAATATTAATATAATGCAAATAGTTACTAAAACTAAAATAAAAAATCCATAAAAATGAATATTTAAACATAGAAATAAGACTAGCATAAATGTGCAAATTTAATACTATTTTTCTTCTATATAGGTACATGTAGGTATGCATGTCATTCATACATTTTTTTCAGTTTTTCATTCACTATTTATGTAATTGGAAACCGAATGACTTCAAATTACATTTCACGAATGCAGTTTGTTGCCTATATAATTTAATATATTTTTTAATCTTGATTTCTATTAAATTTCCCTAATAAAAATTGTATTAAAAGAATTACGTTTTCGATTCTTTTTTGAAACACTTTTGGAGTAGTGAAAGAACCATGATCACTATTAAGACAATTTTATGTCCATGTTGATAAATAAACACATTAATTATTAGTAAAATTAAGCTCTCTAATATCGATTAATGCTAACTAATAATTTTTGATTAAAATATTATATTTTCAATATAGCATGCTACTGCATGATAATTTTCCATATACATTTTTATAAGCATTTAAATTTAAAGTATTTAATAGCATGTAGAACACAATAAAAGAAACCCAATTAATTATTGATATAACATACCCATCCAAAACTAGCACAATTATATTATAAAACAGTACAATTTATAAATAAGTAGATATAGCATACTTAAAATTCTTTGGTAACTTCAATACATCCATATAACTTTACTAAAGGTTTTGGTATGTTTTGTAAAATATTAATATACTGATTTCTTTTACATTCAGTCTTGCTCACGTTGTTACTCATTGACATTCGCAAGCAGGACGGATAAGAAAGTATAATGTTGAAATCCATTACAGACTAAAAAATGTAGACTAGGTATTTGATATCCAAATAAATTGGTCAATAACCTAATCTAAATTGGCATTATATTAATTAGAACTTATATTTTATAAAATAAAGTTATTATTGTGAATGCTGTCCAAACAAAAGATAAGGTTTCATTTATCAAAGACTCGGGAAAAAAGATACTCAGTTGTATAAATGTGTATAATAGATGAGGGATAATTGAGTCGTCTATTATCAAAGGTGGCAATCTGTGTATTTGGACAAAATTTTTTTATTGATATGTCAATTCAGATTGATTTGAATATAATCGTCTCCTTCAAAGAATACGGTTCAAAACCTGCATTAAATAAAGGTTAACAGTTAACCTGTTATTTATCTAAGATGTCGTTCCGAAGAGTTTTGTGACTGCCAATGGAATACAAAGTCAATAATTCGTTTTTCTGATTTACCAATCATTGTCCAAAAGTCAGATTGCCGGCTTTGATAATAGTCGACTCAATTATCTATGTGAAATGATAAATTTGTAACAACCTCATGTATTTTATCAAGCATTCATGATTCCAAAATACACGCCAATATAATGTGTTCAAAATGCACCCTTTAAATTCTTAAACAATTGATTTTAAGCCGCATGACTCTGGTTGCTATTTGTACCCGGTAAATTGTCAGGATTAGCAAGTGGATCCAATTCAGCGAATAGCTTAAACCATGCATCTTTATCACTTTTTTTCGGATCTGGTAAATTAGGTTTCACTATGTTATCTGCGTTCTTTGGTTGGTTATTGTTAGTGCTGGTCGGTGCTAATGGTCCTTGCAGAATATTTGGAGAAGTCAAGTCCTGGAAAAATTATGTTTAGTTGTCAAATCGATAATGAATGACGATTCACTGTTTTAAATTCACACAAAACTCTAATTGTGCATTTAAATCAACAATAGTCATAAATATAGTTATAATAAATAAAACCACAGCTGTGGTGTTAAATAGTTATTAGAATCCATAGACATATATGACTCTAACTCTATCTACCTTGGTACAAGAGGCTGAACTCTCTATGATATTGTATTATATAATGGCTGTCTCTTCCTCTAAACAGCAAAGTATAGCTACGGTAGCTAGCGGTAGGCAGCGGCTTGGCTCTGCCCCTGGCATTGCTGAAGTCCATGGGCGACGGTAACCACTCACCGTCAGGTGGGCCGTATGCTCGTCTGCCTACAAGGGCAATAAAAAAAAAAAAAACGATGCAACATAAAAAGACAAGGTGAATAAATTTGATGGGGCCAGATTAGTGCAGTAACACTTAAAGTTTAATTTAATAAAAAATATGCAAAAGAAGTCATTGTGGCCCAAAAAGATGAGACCCCCCCATGCATTCGTATCGAGTGATGCAATTATGCTGGTGTTTAATTCATTCAATGCCAGTGACGAAATAACATTGTGTAGTGAAAATCAAATCTGTAAAACTTATAATTGGTGTAATTCATGGTGGTAGGGAGTTACTGGTGGTAGGACCTCTTGTGAGTCCGCGCGGGTGGGTACCACCACCCTGCCTATTTCTGCCGTGAAGCAGTAATGCGTTTCGGTTTGAAGGGTGGGGCAGCCGCTGTAACTATACTTGAGACCTTAGAACTTGTATCTCAAGGTGGGTGGCGCATTTACGTTGTGGATGTCTATGGGCTCCAGTAACCACTTAACACCAGGTGGGCTGTGAGCTCGTCCACCCATCTAATCAATAAAAAAAAAAAAAAAAAAAATTATGAGNAAACTTGTAATTGGTGTAATTCATGGTGGTAGGGAGTTTTATGAGCCCACACAGGTAGGTAGGTACCACCCATTTCTGCCATGAAACAGTAAGGAGTTTCTGTTTGAAGGGTAGAGCAATCGTTGCAGTGTAACCCCGGTCACCGAGGACGTGAATTAATTCACAGGCACAGCCCACTGAGTTTCTCGCTGGATCTTCTCAGTGGGTGGAATTTCCGATCCGGTAGGAAAAAGAAAAAAAAATGCAGTGTAAGAGCACTTTAGAACCACTTTACATCGGGTAGGTTTGTCCAACCATCTAAGCAAAAAAAACTCACTTGCAACAGTTGAGACGGCATAAAAGCACCAAAGTTGGACTGTCCATCACCACAGCCTAGATGCAACCCAGCCAAATCTGAAAGTGTTCCTCCTACATTTTCTTCTGTTTCTGTATTTACTAGATTTGTATCTACCAGATTTACAGAAGCGATCCCTTCTTTGTTGTCAAGTGTTGATGGTTTTTCATTGGAAAGTTTAAGTTGTTGCTTATCTAAGTTCACGTTTTTCGGTTTCTCGTCTTTATATTCATCCTGAAATTAAAACAAATATTCTGTATTGTTTGGTTGTAAACTGCAGATGGTTAAATAGTTGTAAAGGCAGTTTTGGGGATATTTATTGTATCACATTATATATAAATATTATATTTATTTTATTTTATTGTACAATGTTCTTAGTAGAAACATTACTTACTATTGAGAATTTAGTTTGTGTATAAAGTTAGTTGTAGGATATATCTCACAGCTATTTTTCAAAAATATTTATTTAAGATATTTAATCACTAATACAATTATGTCACTCATTATACAAAAATATTATGTGATCAATTTTATGATTATCGCATATTTAGAATTGAAGTGGCTTTACCAAAAATTTAAAGAAAATTTGATTTATTATTCAAATAACTTATAAACATGTGTTCTATCAGTTTATAAAATTAAAAAGTTGATTTTGCTTTCTTGAAATGAGAATTTTCCAAAGCAATTCTACCTCTGTCATTATTCAATTTAAAAGCCTCCATTAGTGTGTTAGGCATCTTAAATTGCATCATAGTGACAAAACGATGGAACCGATTGTTTCACAGTTGAGACAATAACAATAGCATACTTGAGGGATATTATTTTTTAAATAAGAATAAAAATGCAGTAGCAGGTACAAGTACAGCTAGAAGATAAAGTTATGGAATTTTATATTAAAAATCAAATGAACAATAATCAGATTTTCATCAGCTTATGTATCTCTTTTTGGAAATAAAGTATTATTACTTACTCCCAAGTATCACGTCAAATCTCATATATCTATGCAATCTGATAAATAAGGCTAACTTATAAAACTATAGATCTACAATGGAAATTTCAATAGTACAAATATCGCAAAGTATGCTATTCACCTGGAAAAACAGCATCTGATCTTTATCTTGGGGCACCACCTCCTTAGTCTCGCTCTCTCCCAAACTTTGTGAAAGTTCTTTTAGTATGCAGAATTCATACTGTGGATTATTATTCATAGAATCTGCTGTTGCTTCTAAAGTTTGAGATACTTTAGTAACAAATGTTACAAATGAAGCTTGGTAATTTGATAACACATGTGAAAACATGTTGCATCGTGCTGCTGCTAACAGATCAATCTGTAAAGATTCATAATATATACTCAGACAAACTCAGTGCCGTAACTTCACAAAGTTATAAAAATTTGAAAGAAAAAAAATTTAAGCTTAATTTTGTTTAAGTAATAAAAATACTGCAACAAAACTATTTATTACAATAATTTACGTAGAAAAGAAAATTATTTAGTAGTAAATTTGATTATTAATTTACCTTTTGCAGTACATCAAGTGTCAATTTATCAAATATTTTTTTACTCTCACGTACTTGACGTTGTGCCTTTCGGAAATTATCGAGGCCACGACCTGTATCAGGGTCTAGCTGGGCACTTGTCGATTTCATCCAACTCAATGCTGCACGATACTCTAATCTCGCCTTCTCCATGGCAGACACAGTAGCTCGCATATCACTCACAGCTCGACCTCGAAATGTTTCCACTTCATGATAAAGCCTTAGCAATGGCGATCTAATTGATAGCCGCTGCTGCCCACAGTATGATATCGCTTTTCCAGCGGAAATCATGTGTTTCCCTGACGCGTCAGCGTTTTTTCCAGAATCTCTGAGAAATTTCCCCAAAGCATTTTCTTCTTGAGCCAGAATACATATTCGCTCTTGGTATTGGTCTAATACGCGTTGTAATTGCAAACAGCTGTCAGATATTGATCGGAATAACTCTAATTTCGCGTCCAGTTCGGCGTCGGAAGAAACGATACATTCGTCTTCTTTAGTTCCCAGCTTTTTCAGAACAGTCTTTTTAGTAACCCAATATTGATGCTGCATCATCTTCACTGTACTGATACTTTGATTTGTTTCTGTCGTATTATCACAAATTAAAAGTTTTTGAAATTGCCGAAAATAAAATATTAACAATAATTTTCATATCATTTGTCATTTGCAATGACAGGAACCATAGATAATGAACTTAACAGAAACTGATAATGACACTTTCATGTTCCAATCGTACCCATGCACAAGCAATGATCCACAGCACATAAAAATAAATGTTTAATTTACAACGACAAAAAGCACAACAAAGCTTTAATTATATTTGATTTCATTATATGATACACAACAGTAGCAATGGTGTTTGGTAATTGTCTATTTCAATACCAAACAAAAAAAAACATCCAAAAGGCTGAGTGGATCTTGAACATTCTGGAATGAATGAAAGTTTTTGTTATTTATAACCAATATATCTTGAAAAGGAGTGCTCTAAGGAATTGTTTGAGATGATACCATCGTCTCGTTTTTAACAATCGCACCGCCCGCCACTAGAGTAGAGTTCGTCCATACTTGGTACTATTATTATAGCCACTGCGTTAACTCACTATCAGATGGGCCGTATGCTCGTCTGCCTGCACGGGCAATAAAATAATATATTTTACATCTAAAATATATGTTGACAAACTACTTGCACTCTAGAATAATTATTAGACATTTGTTTGCAAGCCAGTGTTAACAGTGGCACTATAACAAAAAAAAAAAAACGAAAAGATTTCGTTCTGATTTGTCATAGTCAATTTATGGTTCAATTTACATCCAGTTTATTGAATTATTAATTTTCTTTAAAATCTCTTTAAAGCTTTTCAGCTTTTTCAAATGCTAACCTTTGCTCTGGTTAAATTAAAAATGGTAAGCCAAGTGAAAAATTGTCTATGATATGATATTTACAACCGGAATGTGGAATGGCTGCCGCGTTTCGTGTCCGTCAATCTAATGTTTATCAAACTATTTCGAAAATAATATGTGTTATTTTGTTAGATGAGAACCACTGTTCCGCCACAAAAGTGTGATAATAATTAAAATGTACTGTGCTAGTGATAAAAATGTTCCCGGGGTATCGTCTTCGCAATCTTCGAAAAACGTCAAAGATGGTAAGTTTGTCGTTGATCAAATTTGTTTTTTTTTTACAGGTTATAATTATCGGTATATTTAAGTTTGTTTATATTATTATTTAAAATTGTTGCTATTATGTTTTTAATATTGCAAGAGGATCTTATAAAGGTAATCTGCTTCGACTAGGCTTAAAAAAGTTTTGAAAGTGAAGAGAAACTTTCGAATAAGTGATATGAATTGAGAATAGAATTCGAAACTTTTTAACAAACGAAGGTGCCTAAACTAGAACCCTACTGTTCATTAATTGTTACAGCAAGCTTAGGCATAATATGAAGCAAAATATAGTTCAATAGTTTTGAATATATTTTTATCAGTTATTGTTTGGGAACTGTATGTACAGAAATGACGGATGGACTTAAAACAAACTTTCGGCCCTATGAATACGGTTCAATTCGTTGTTCTTCATTTTTATGATATACGACCTCATGTTTTTGTTATCGAATTAGTTTGGTTTGATCGATATAAAATTTAATATCTTTTAAATATGTTATGAAATAAATTAGTGATTGATATTTTTTTCAAATGTAGTGTAGGTAAGTCATTAAAAGTTCACAAAAAGAGTACAATACGAAAATTTGCTTATAATTTAAATTAGTGATTTTTGGTATTTTCTTCGCGAGTTATAGACACAAAACTACTTTTACGGTTAGTAATTTATATTTTGTTGATTAAAATGACAACATTTAATCTCACTACGTACAAACAAATGTTCATGATTGATTTCCACGGTGAAGAAATAACATCGTGCAATGAAAATCATGCCCGCAAAAATTCTAATTTGCGTAATTACTGATGGTAGGGCGGTTTGTGACCCCCTCGGGCAGGTACCACCACCCTGCCTATTACTGCCGTGAAGAAGGAACGCGTATCTGTTTGAAGGGCGGGCAGCCTTTGTACTGGAACAACTAGAACTCAAGGTGGGTGGCGGCATTTACGTTGTTACGATGTTAATGGGCTCCGGTAATGACTTCACACCAGGTGGACCATGAGCTCGTCCACCCATTAGAGCAATTATTAGAGCTTAGGTAGGAAAAAAAAATGTGAGCCGTCACGGGACGCCTGGCAGATGTGAAACATCGACATTATTTTGTAAAAGTAATATGCAGAAAAGAACAGATCGTGATAGGAACTAAATATGTCATAATGATAAAATAAAATATTACGAAAAAATAATTTGTTTTCAAGTAAAACACAGAGAGAATCGCACAGTTGATTGCGCATGGCGACGCGTCGCCACGCCAGAAATCGGTTTTACGTGCGGCTATAGATGTTTCACATCAAAACTAATTTACGTAAATGAAAATGTCAGGAATGTATCTGTCTGCTGCAGTCCTCGGCAACCAAAAGAGCCAAATGTAGATACTTAACACACAATCGAAATTTATTCAAAGATATATTTTGCAACGTGTATTTTTATAGCCTTGTGTTCCAAAAATGTTTACTCGTCTCATACAAGGTAAGATACTAATCAATGTTCCGTGCCTGAACTAAACATTCCGCGGAAAAGCCGCAGCCGAGGAGTACAGGATACGCAAAAGTCGACCATAGCCACCTAATTACTGTGCTCTTGAATACTCATATGACACGATTAGAGTAATGGCAACCATCGTGGGAACAATTAAAGTCGATAATCGTCCGTAGGGCTTTCGCGGTCATGTTACATAATCGCTTAAATAAATGAATTAAATCGATTAAATATATACGAGACTTTCCACATGATATTCCAAATCAGTGCCGCGACGCCACACCACCATTCATTACTACAGCTAAAAAGGTAATTTACTAAACACATGAGAAAAAACGGAACGAAGCATCGTATAAAATGCAATAATGCAATAAAAAAAATCCATTAGTTTTTTAAGCTTTTATTTAATTCAATAATTAAACAAGTTTTTTTTGGCTTATTTATGATGCTAAGCCAAGCTAAAATGTTTTGGATTTGAACAAGATGCCGATACGAATTACTCAGAATTCGTCTTTATAAATAAGGGAGAAATTCCTAAGGGGTAAGTGCGTGAGTCGTTTGCGATCAAGACCGCTTGTAAGTTACGAGTTAAACCGACAATGAAGCACGTATTTTAATGTAGTATACGGTCAACCTGGTTGTACTTCTGGTGGTATGTCTTCCGAGCCCGCACGGATAGATGCCACCGCCCTGTCTATTGATGCGGCGAATCACTAGCGTTCCGATATGAAGTTATATATATAGTTGTATACAATTGATACTTAGACTTGACGTCCTAACGAGCATGAGATAAGATGCGATTGAATGCCGCCCATCACCTAAAGGTGAAAGTCTCAACTGCAGTGGCCACCTCGACCTTCAAAGTCACGTATATATAACTTTTTCGTGTCAGAACTATGCGCGATACTATCCCATCATTTGCGGAGACATATACGCCATAACGCCCACCCAGTAAAACAGTGCGCTCCAAAAAAAATCTTACGATCAATTAGCTTATATGTACATGCTTAAAAGCAACAGTATAAAAATCTGCAGTAAAGCAGACGAACCGGCGACTCGAACCAATGGTTTTTACATGAACTCAATCGTTCATGAAATTGTCTTCATATGGTGGAATAAGTTAAATCACCTATACGTGTTTTATGTATGTACGTTATTCAATATACAGAAAAATCTATGTTAAAAAATCACATTAATAACGATAAATATTATTATTTTCCTACCTAAGCTGATAGCCTTGACGGGCAATATCAGCGTCGCCTTAACTAGTAGGTGCACTCACGGGGCTCAAACCTGATGACGTTGCTAACACGAACCCTAGCAAGAGCCGTGCTTCGCAGAATCTACCATTGGATCGGAAACGCGACCCACTGAGAAGATACGGCGAGAAACTCAGTGGGCTGTGTCTATGGGTTAAGTTACTCGTCGAGCCCTTCGTCGCAAGCGACGGGTTCGACGGGAACGGGATAAATAATTAGTTCTTAAAAAGAACTCGCTCTTCAGTTTTTTTTTTATTGCCCGAGCAGATAGACGAGCAAACGGCCCACTTAATGGTAAGCGGTTACTGTCGCTCATGGATGTCAGCAATGCCAGGACAGAGCCAAGCCGCTGCCTACCACTTAATACACAAGTCAGTCTAACAAGCTCAACAAAAATCTAATTTCAAAAAAATAAATGAGGTAGATACCTATGTAGTGATGTGTCTTCTTGTAGTTATGTATAGTAAGTATGTGAACGACGGACAATACCCGCTGACCTTGCGGCCGTAGCAAAGAAACGATATATGATTATTGCGTTAGACACGTTTTTAGACCACTTTAAACGCTAATTAAAGATTTAATTAATTTAATTTTCGAATTAAACCTACATTGAAAAAGTTTTATTACAGTTTATGAACGTAATACTGCAGATTCATATCATGTCCTGAACTTTAAAAGTTTTCATAGTCGTTTAAGTTTTTTTTTTTTTTTTATTGCTTGGATGGGTGGACGAGCTCACAGCCCATCTGGTGTTATGTGGTTACTGGAGCCCATAGACATCCGCAATATAAATGCGCCACCCACCTTGAGATATAAGTTCTAAGGTCTCAAGTATGGTTACAACGGCTGCCCCACCCTTCAAACCGAAACGCATTACTGCTTCACGGTAGAAATAGGCAGGGTGGTGGTACCCACCCGCGCGTACTCGCAAGAGGTTCTACCACCAGTAAAGCGCTTTCATCCACCGTGCATTGATAAATATGACGAAAATTGACAATGTTGATTTATTGTAAAATTTGTTTGTCAGCTGTTCGTTTTAAAATAGATATAATTCTTATAATGTACGTAACCCTTTTGTCCTAAATCGAAACGACATTTCCCAGGTTAGTGGCCTGTTATACTCGCTTGCCAAAATGTCAAAGGTCGAGACTTCGATATCAGATGTACGAAGTTTTGCCTCGCCACGAGACAGCCCGTTGTTGAGTCACAGATTAATTTATTACCATGAAGAATAATCTGTGCTGAATTTTTACATCGACC